TCTCCCCATATACACCCTATTCACTCCGGTCCCGGTACTGCCGCACAAAGGGTACAACCATCACCGGCTCCCAGAGTTCGACCCTTTCTGCTGGGGTGCTGATGAGCAGGCTCCCCCGCCCAAAACCGAGCAAAACGACCCACCACCCAGACCCCAGCCAGACGGCCAGATCCCCCTCCTAGCCTCCAGCCCCAGGAAGCCAAGTGACAACATGGGTTTATTTCTTCCTTAAATATAATTATATTCTTTCTTTAACCTAAAAATCACATTTCTAATGATAATGAACCAAAACTTTTGAAAGGGTGAAACCATAAAACGTTTCTTCAGCATGTTAGCATGTTAGCTAACTCTCAAGTCAGAGAGGAGGGTCAGAGACATGAGATCCATCTGATACCAGGAAGATCTAATCAATCTAAGATGGCGGCAGCATTTCCTGCACCCGAGCAACCAGTTGGGGATCTATCAATATTAGGGCTGGGAAAATTAGCACATTAATTATTAGCATTAATTTTGTTATTTTAACGTGTTAAAAGTACATTACGCAATTAATTTGACCATCTCTCCAACCTGGAGCCACTATTCTCCAAAAATTCTCCATATTTTCCCCTGGACAATATTGATAAACCATCATTTACTGACTCCTCCTTGAACCGTCACCTTATCGTGGTGGAGGAGTTTGAGTGCCCTAATGATCCTAGGAGCTATGTTGTCTGGGGCACTTTGTGCCCCCGGTAAGGTCTCCCATGACAAATTGATCTTAGGTGAAGGGTGAGGCAAAGAACGGTTCAGAGGATCTTTCATGGATGTACAATCAAAGAGTCGGAGTACCCGGCCCAGAGGGTTACCGGGGTCTCACCCTGGAGCCAGGCCTGAGCGCCTGGTGGCCGGGCTTTCGCCCATGGGACCAGGCCAGGCCCAGCTCGAACCGGATACATGGGCTCATCCAACTGTGGACCCACCACCCGCAGGAGGAACATGAAGGGTCTGGTGCAGTGTGGATCGGGTGGCAGACCGAGGCGGGAGCCTTGGCGGTCCGATCCCCAGACAAGGAAACTGGTTTTTGGGACATGGAATGTCACCTCGCTGGTGGGGAAGGAGAGGAGCTTGTGGCAGAGGTTGAGCGGTACCGGCTAGATATAGTCGGACTTACCTCGACACATAGCATTGTCTCTGGAACCCAAGTCCTTGAGAGGGTTTGGACACTCTCCTTTGCTGGAGTTGCTCCGGGTGAGAGGCGGAGGGCTGGGGTTGGCTTTATGTTGGCCCCAAGACTCTCTGCCTGTATGTTGGGGTTTACCCTGGGGGATGAGAGGGTAGCTTCCCTGCGCTTTCAGGTTGGGGAACGGGTCCTGACTGTTGTTTGTGCTTATGGGCCAAATATCAGTTCAGAGTACCCACCCTTTTTGGAGTCCCTGGGATGAGTTCTAGATAGTGCTCCATCAGGGGACTCCATTGTCCTGCTGGGGTACTTCATTGCTCATGTGGGCAATGACAGCTTGACCTGGAGGGGTGTGATTGGGAGGAACGGCCCGCCTGATCTGAACTCAAGTGGTGTTTCGTTATTGGACTTCTGTGCAAGCTGCAGTTTGGCCATAATGAACATGTTCGAACATAAGGATGCCCATCGGTACACTTGGTACCAGGGAAGCCTAGGTTGCAGGTATATGATAGACATTGTGGTCGTATCATCTGACCTGCGGCCGTATGTTTTGGACACCCGAGTGAAGAGAGGAGCGGAGCTGTCAACTGATCACCACCCGGTGGTGAGTTGGATTAGATGGCAGGGGAAGATGCCGCGTACACCTGGCAGACCCAAACGCATAGTGAGGGTCTGCTGGGAATGCCTGGCAGAAGAACCTGTCAAGACGGTCTTCAACTCCTACCTCCAGCAGAGCTTTGACCGTGTCCCAAGAGCAGTGGGGGACATTGACTCCGAGTGGGCCTTGTTCCACTCTGCGATCGTTGAGGCGGCTGTTGCTAGCTGTGGTCGCAAGGTGGCTGGTGCCAGTCGTGGTGGCAACCCCCGTACCCGCTGGTGGACACCAGAGGTTCCGGTAGCCATCAGGCTGAAGAAGGAGGCCTACAGGGTGTGGCTGGTCTGTGGGTCTCCGGAGGCAGCAGACAGGTACCAGATAGTCAAGTGGGGTGCAGCAGTGGCAGTTGCCGAGGCAAAATCTCGGGCATGGGAGGAGTTTGGTGAGGCCATGGAGAAAGACTATCGATCAACTCCAAAGAGGTTCTGGCAAACTGTCCGGTGCCTCAGGAGAGGAAGGCAGCAACTCGCTCACACTGTTTACAGTGGGGATGGGGAGCTGCTGACGTCAACTGGGGCTATAGTTGGATGGTGGAAGGAATACTTTGAGGAGCTCCTCAATCCCACCTACGTACATTCCGAGGAGGAACCAGAGCCGGGAGACCTGGGGATGGACTGTCCAATCTCGGGGGCAGAAGTTGCTGAGGTAGTTAAACAAGCACACAGCGGCGGAGCCCCGGGGGCAGATGAGATTCGTCCTGGGTATCTCAAGGCTGTGGATGTTGTAGGGCTGTCGTGGTTGACACGTCTCTGCCACATTGTGTGGTCATCGGGGGCAGTTCCTGTGGAGTGGCAGACCGGGGTGGTGGTCCCCATCTTTAAGAAGGGTGACTTGAGGGTGTGTTCCAACTATAGGGGGATCACGCTCTTCAGCCTCCCTGGAAAGGTCTACTCCAAGGTACTGGAGAGGAGGGTCCTATCGATAGTTGAGTCTCAGATTGAGGAGGAGCAATGTGGTTTTCGTCCTGGCCGTGGAACTGTGGACCAGCTCTATACCCTTGCAAGGGTGATGGACGGGGCATGGGAGTTTGCCCAACCAATCCACATGTGTTTTGTGGATTTGAAGAAGGCTTATTACCATGTCCCCAGGGGCACCCTGTGGGGGACGCTCCAGGAGTATGGGGTGGGTGGCTTGCTGTTAAGGGCCATTCAGTCCCTTTACCAGAGGAGCGTGAGTTTGGTCCGCATAGCCGGTAGTAAGTCGGACCTGTTCCCAGTGAGGGTTGGACTCCGCCAGGGCTGCCCTTTGTCACCGGTTCTGTTCATTACCTTTATGGACTGAATTTCTAGGCGCAGCTGTGGTGTGGAGTGTGTCGAGTTTGATGGCAGGAGAATCTCGTCTCTGCTTTTTGCGGATGATGTGGTCCTCCTAGATTCATCCAGCTCTGACCTTCAGCTCTTGCTGGGTAGGTTCGCGGCCGAGTGTGAAGCGGCTGGGATGAGGATCAGCACCTCCAAATCTAAGACCATGGTTCTCGACCAGAAAAGGGTGGCTTGCCAACTCCGGGTCGGGAGAGAGGTCCTACCTCAAGTGGAGGAGTTTAAGTATCTCGGGGTCTTGTTCACGAGTGAGGGTAGGAGGGATTGGGAGATCGACAGGCGGATTGGTTCGGCGTCTGCAGTGATGCGGACGCTGAGCCGATCTGTCGTGAAGAGGGAGCTGAGCCAGAAAGTCAGGCTCTCGATTTACCGGTCGATCTACGTCCCAATCCTCACCTATGGTCATGAGCTTTGGGTAATGACCGAAAGAAAGAGATTGCGGATACAAGCGGCCGAAATGAGTTTTCTCCGTAAGGTGGCCGGGCTCAGCCTTAGAGATAGGGTGAGGAGCTGACATTCGGGAGGGACTCGGAGTAGAACCGCTGCTCCTCCGAATCGAAAGGAGTCAGTTGAGGTGGTTTGGGCATCTGGTCAGGATGCCTCCTGGGCATGTCCTGCCGGCAGGAGGCCCCCGGGTCGACCCAGGACACGTTGGAGAGGTTACATCTCCAATCTGGCCCGGGACTGCCTTGGGGTCCTGCCGGAGGAGCTGGTGGAGGTGGCCCGGGAGAGGACGGTCCGGAGCTCCCTAGTTGGGATGCTGCCCCTGTGACCCGGACCCGGATAAGTGGAGGAAGACGAAGACGACGATCATTTACTGAGCCTGAAACAAGATGAAGTTTCTACTGATATTATGGACTCTTCTGATTCTTCTGAGTGGAGAAGATGAACAGAGGCATGGGGCTCATGCGCTCCACCGGCATCCATGTCTTGCGCACAGCCACAGTAACATCCTCAAAGCAGCGCCACCAAAATATATTTAACACACAATCAGTCATAACTGCTTTGGTGCTTTTTGTCTTTTATTCGTGGCTGAGGCACATCGCTGCTGTGCTCATCACCTGTGCTCCACGGCCAGGCAGCATTTTTTCTGGAGAACTATCCCGCATCTCCCTGTGGCAGATGCAGTATGAAAGACAGACAGGACAGGATCATAGTCAAATAATAAGAAAACAGGACACGGGAAAAATAATAATAATAGTAATAAGAAAACAAAACAAAGAGCTTGGAAAGGTAAATGTATGTAGATTTATCCCACTACATGTTTTAACGTTATAAAGTAATTATTATTTATAAGCTCATAATATTCATATATTCCATACAGTTCAGATCACCTTCAAAACTCCATCCCACCCAGGGCTGTATCAAAGCATTTGGGGGCCATGCCAGCGAGGTGTCCCTTATTTATTTTTGGGGAGTTAGCAATTCAAGTTCAACTGATGCTGTGGAAAATGACATTTACACTGAATAGCTAGCTGTGCTAGATTAATTCATGTTCATTGTTTACACAATAGACTTTTTCTAACAAGGTTTTTGAACAGAAACTGGATTTGATTTTAGGTTTTTCTCTGTTAAAGACAGTATTCAGTGATTTTACACACTTCAACAAGTTATGCACTTTCTAAATAAAATGAACCTCTTGTATATTTTTACATGTAAATTGCTTGCTTTTTCTGGAAAGAAATTATAATTAATTGCGATACATTTTTTTCAGATTTTTGATTAATTAGTTTATTTTAATTGATTCCCGGTCTTAATCAATATATGTGTCTGTGGTTTAAACAATATACAGTGATGAAACTAAACAGAATTACCCACAATCCACCTGGGAGAACATCTTAAAGCTGTGGCTCTTCTGTTTCTGTAGGACCACTCGAAAGGACCTATGGAGACTTCTGGAGGATGGTCTGGGAACAAAATGTTCTAGTTATTGTTATGACAACCAGGTAATTACAGTGAATAGTCACAAAAAAGGAAGTTGTGGTCTGAACTCATTGTCCTAAGTGCACCTTGTCCTCATGCTACAGGACAGACGAAGGGAGTCGAAGGAAGTGTGGACAGTATTGGCCCCTGGGTGAAGGTGGACAAGAGGTCTATGGACACATAGCTGTGGTGAACCAGAGAGTGGACCACCACACCCACTACAACCACACCATCCTAGAGCTGCACAATACAGAGGTACACAGCTCTACTTTACTTTGAGTTCTGCTCTTGACAAGGATCGAGTCACTAAAAACTTGACCATACATCCATTATATCACTAGATTAAATCTGGCAAATATCATTCTCAAATTAAGCCAAAGTCACTAGCAAAGGAGCAGGAGTTAAGCACCCGCCTTGTAACTGGAAGGTAGCCTGTTCCAACCCCGTTGAGTCTGTCACAGCCATTGTCATTGGACAAGACACAATCCTCCTGCTGGTGGTGGTTGGAGGGACTTCTGGCTTCAGTCAGTGTGTCCCAGGACAGGTGTAGCTACGATGCAGCTCACCACCATCATATGTGAATGACTGTTGAGGGTTTTGGAGTCTTCTGACTCGGAAGAGCACTACAAGTGCAGCTCATTGATCATTTTATTTACCTTGAGAAATATGAAAATCTTTTATAGAGAAAACCTCTAAATTAGGTTCTTTAAACAGTCAGTGAAAAAACGGGTGGGCTTGAATAAGCTTGGCTTCTGCCCACACCCTTTCAAACATGCCTACAACAATGTCATCTGGTAAGGTTTATTATTGATTTATGTCTTGTTAATTGTGATGTTATTGGCATGTTGGGAAAAAATAAGTGATGATGACGATGATGATGATGAGGAGGAGGATCTCCCCCTTGGAACCAACTCTGCTAATGTTTGGTGGTGAATCACAAGGAAAGGATCCCGGATGAGCCGCCAATATGTTATGACCTGGCTATAAGCCATAACCAACAAAAGGGGAAGACTCATGGAAGTATAAATGTGTAGTTTTCTTTGGTACAGCCATGTCTATCTCCTGAGCTTGCTGTGTTAGACTCTTTTTATTCTTTTCCTCTGGCAGCAGAAACTCGCAGCTGCCTCCAGTCAATGATCAGCTCGACATAGAAACAGTCAGCCATCCTATAAAAGGCTTTGGGCCGTAACAGAAACAGAAAGAATGAAATCACGAATACAAGCAGCCAAATTGAGTTTTCTCCACAAAGTGGCTGGGCTCTCTCTTAAAGATAGTGTGAGAAGCTCAGTCATCCAGGAGGGGCTCAGAGTATATCCACTGCTCCTCCACATCGAGGAGCCAGTTGAGGTAGCCTCCTGGATTCCTCCCTGGTGAGGTGTTCCAGGCATGTTCAACTGATAGGAGACCCAAACGAAGACCCGGGACACGCTGGAGAGACTATGTATCTCAGTTGGCCAGAGAACGCCTTGGGATTCCCCTGGAGGAGTTGGCCTTAAAGACTGGGGAGAGGGAGGTCTTGGCCTCCCTGCTTATGCTGCTGCTGCAGAAGTCCCAGTGATCTACTCTGTTCACCTCGCAGGGACTCACATGGGCTTCAACTGGCTAATAAACAAGGAAAGTAAAAAACAAAAAAATTAAAGATTCATCTTGATATTCTAAACAGTTTACCAATAAAAGATTGAAAACATAATACAGGCAAGTGTAGCTAAATCAGAAAAGTAGTTACTGCTCAGACAGGAAATCGAACCGGCCTAAGGTAATAGCAAAACAGCATGCATAGCAGGTGCTCTGTCCACTCACCCACAAAAGCTGTTACAAATGTTTAGTCACCTAACACACATATCCTGTGCCGGCCATTACACACATCTTCGTGGACAGGATGCATGTTTTTTATGGCGATGTGTTGTCCCCAACGCAGAAGTCGGAATATCCCCTCCGGTGGAGGTTAAAGCAGTCATGCGTGGCATGAAGGTCACATCCTCAACAACAGCATGAAATCCACTGCTCCATACTTGCAGCTTAGAGAAAGTGGGCATTAGTGACCTTCTTCCAGGGGAGGTGGGCACACTTAGGCCTAGTTTATACTTCATCAGCTCCACGAGGGAGAGACATGCACGCACTGACAGAGACGTTTTGCCTTCAGACTTCTCTGTCTCCTGGGGAGAGTTGCAGAGCAATTCTCCGCCAGGACAACAGAGGGCACAGCGCTGTTCTGTGGTATCCTGTCCAAGATAGTGCTATTGTGTTTATCTTGTTTTATTGTAAACACAATAGCCACACATTTTGAGTTTACTCTAAAAGGCTTTCCCAACATCATGTCCTTGTTTTAGACATTTTTCTGAGCTATGACACTAAAGGCACTAACTTGTTGATGAAGAATCAGAGTCCTCTGCTGGAACAGGTGCTGCGTAGCAGATACTCTGGTGAAGACACACAGTTTGCCTCATTTTTATGAGTCTGAACTATTCTGTGTGCTCCAATTTTTTCTTCTTTTATGAACTAGTTTTGATGTTATTACATTTGTAATTTATTAAAAGTATTTTGTCTGTTTATTTGCTACTCAGACATGTGAGCAGAGGAATGCGAGTCATTTCCAGTACCTCAGCTGGCCCGACTACGGGGTCCCCACCTCAGCTGTGACGCTTATAGACTTCCTGGGTGCAGTGAAGAGGCAGCAAAGAAAGATGGTGAAGGCTTTAGGCCCTCAGTGGTCTACCCACCCACTGGGACCTCCAATAGTGGTCCACTGCAGTGCAGGAATTGGTAGAACAGGTAATGAGATCCTACCTACTAATAGTATCTCAACCTTGGCTTTGTTCTAACAAGTGTTGCTGCTGTGTACAGGAACCTTCTGTGCCCTGGACATCTGCCTATCTCAGCTGCAGGACGTCGGCTCTCTTAACGTGTTTCAGACGGTGCGACGCATGAGAATGCAGAGGGCCTTCAGCATTCAGACCCCAGACCAGTACTACTTCTGCTACAATGCTATCCTGGAGCACGCTCAGAGACAGGGTCTGCTCCCATCCAATCAGTGAGCCACAGACCTTCAACATTCCACTTCTGCCTTCTGCTAATGCTGGAGCCAGGGGCTAAACAGGAACACGTCTTCCTCGCTGAGGAGGAGCTTTAAAACATCGGTTGGCCAAACGATGCACTCACAATGAAAGCTTGAACTGACTGTGATGGACTTGTTCACTGCAGAGGGCGTGATGTTTTGTTGTTGCTGAACTTATCTTCAAGAACATGGAACCGAGACCCAACTGTTCGGGTTCTGTGATGTTTAGAGGTCTATCTTGAGGCATATTTGGCATAATTAACTCCTATAAACCCTTAAAGGGGTATTTCAGTCATTTTTAAGTGTGTCACTGTGTAAACCTTATAAATACTCACCATCGTACCCACTGACGGCACACTGAGCAGCCTCTCTTTGGAGGATCGATGAGCTAATAACTGTTGAGCACAGCCAGGGCCAAAATAAATTTCTGACACCTAAAAACAGCTCCAACTATTAAACTTTTATTGCACTTAATACAAACAGTGTTTATTATTGTCATTTGTTTTGGGTCACACAGTATTTCAACAGAAGTATTCAAATTTTGGGGAAAAACCAGATCCCTAGGTGCACCAGAAGGTGCCACTTAGTAAACATGCTCTATAGGTTTATAGATTACAACATGCCCTGTAGGTTATAAATTGTAAATCGCCATGATGCAACACCAATGGGGGGGATATGGGTTTAATAAAATATGTTGTACAGATGCCATAAATGCTGTTCTAGGGTGGCATCAACTCCCCACAGGGAACCTATATCAGCGTAAATCAGCACTTGGATTTTGCAACAGGTGTACAACGATGGCCAGTTAGGAGAAGAAAACAGTAGAGGGGTGGGGTTTGGAAGGAGTGTATGTAGCAAACCATATGGCAGAGTGCTGAAGAACATAACGTTTAAGGAGCAAACATTTGGATGCTGATCTCTGAATGACATTACCATAATCTAGTTGACTGGTGGGGGTGTTGTTTCGCTTCCGTGCTTCATCCGTAGGCGAGGGGTGATGTTGTAGCAGTGGTGCTGGAGTTCCAGCAGTGGCTGAGCCTATGTAAGGAAAACACACTGAGATTGGTCATTTGCACCAATGATTTCCTTGCAGATGAATGGAAAGAACACATTCTGAAAACGAATTCTTGATTTATGTTAAAGAGCAAATTGCAGGTTAGAGACTCCCATGAACCAATGTTTAGAGAAGCATAATAGAAACTTGTTTTAAAAGTTTTTTTTTACATATACGTGAATTATTTAGGCTTTTAGTCATTTTTGTGAGTTTTTTTTTTTTTTTTTTTTTTTTTTTGCCAAACCAAGTGACGTCAGCTGAGGGAGTCCCGTTAGCTTAATCTAGAGAAAAATATGGATTCTAATGTGGCTCTGACACAGAGGAAACTTTAAATGTTTATAATTCTACTTTTGACGGATGCTGAGCCGCGCATCTCTTCTGGTGGTCGGTTCTGACCTGTTTCTGATGGTGAGCTGAGCTCCAGAAATCCGCATTTCATTTTTTAAACCCCACCATGGATCTCCGGAGCCCAGTGCGGACCTCTCTGTCCCGGTACCGACCGATGTGGGCTACAGAAGTCCATCTTTTCAGCTGCAGAAACGCCCTGAGGTACGGAGATAGAGGCGTTGTTTCTCTTATCTGGAAACCCGTGGACTTGATGTCCAGACATGCTGGAGTTGGTACAGCCTTCACAGACTATAGTTTATCAACATGAACACAATCCAACACTAGTAAACACACACACTGACTGGATAACGTGACCTCTCTACCCTAAAACTAGCCACTCTCCACATTGAGCTGAGGCAGCGCCGAGCTTCTAACTCCCTTTGGTTACGTCAGAGGTTCACATTTAGAAAAAAGAACCTTTTTAGAAGCTTTGCTGAGAAAGGTCATGTTTTACTAGAAAACTGCTGTTTTTAAACCAAATATCCACAATAAGCATTTCAAATAGTATTTTTGGACAGCATTTTATATGAATTAGAACAAAAAATTAACCTGCAATTTCCTCCTTAATGTTTATGTATTTAGCAGACTCTTTTTTTCCAAAGTGACTCATAGGCCTGTAAATCTGAATATAATCTGAAAAAAGGGGGGGGGGGGGTGTATTCCAAGGTATCTATATTTAGTAGGGTTGAGCATCAATTGAATTTGAACATTTCGAGTTCCAATTCCAGTTCCTTGTTTCGATTCCAATTCCTATCGATTCTCGATTCCGAGGCTATATCAGTCTACTTGACAAGTATGTTCTTGGCAAGTACGCCTGAAAGTTTGTTCTACCGAGTACAGGGGGATGAAGACAGCATTTGGAACAGAATCATAATCCGTTGTGTCATGGCAACAAGTGCTACGGTTAAAAGAAACAACCTGACATAAAAGTAAAAGTCTAGTTTGACCCTTAAAGAGCAAGTTGCCCCCTACCAGAGTATTACTCCACTCCCACTTCCTGTTTGAAAAATGCAACAACTGCTGTTGCCAAGCAGACCGAGAGGGCGGAGCCGCTAACAAATACACACACGCACACAGGCTCACAACGGCATTGTGACATCATATGGTATCAGCTAACGGCTGTGTCTCAATTCAGGGTCTGCATTACGTCACAGCGCCGCGACTAGGCCTGTCCCAATTTGAAGACTCTTTCAAATGCGGTCGACGAATCCGGCCTTCTTTTCGCCTGCATGAAGGATGGGTCTGGTGTATCCTTCAGTGGTTTACATTTCCCAAGATGCCTTGCGGGCCAGACGGCAGAACTTTTAAAAACAACGGCGGACAGTGAAGCGGGAGCTGTCGGAGAGGATTGCGCATATAAATGTCAGTATAAACTTAAACTGTTAGGTTAAGGGCTTTTTGTGATACATGAATGTTATTTTAGTTAGAAATGTTACAGTAAAAGTGCTTGTATTGCGGTCTCGGCTCGTATGTTCGGCCGCGCTCGGTGTCGTACTTCTCCCGCTACGTTTTCCCCCAGATTTTAATAGGAGTTTGTATTTTAGGGACAAAAGAGAAAACCACGGAATTTATTAAGCTTAGGGTGGAGATGGACCACATGATCACTGGAGCAAAGTATTCGGCGGCTGTGGCATGGAGGTACAATAACATCTCATATTTTAAAAACTGTCGTTTGAGTTTATTTTTTTCTGTGAAAACATGAAAGGAATAACCCGTTGTCCTCTTTTCCCTTCCTGTTTCTTTTCTTACATGTTTGTTAAGACTATTCTGGAGAAAATGGGCATCCAGGGGAAGGTGACAGCGATGACCAGCTCCTGGAGCTGATCAGGGAGGACTTGAGGCTGCAGAGGGAGGCAGAGCAGCAGAGGGCACAGGAGAGAAGGGAGTATTTTGACAGCTTTTTACTTTACTAGAAAAAATGGTTAATAAAGATTAAACATGTACTTATAAAAGAAATATCTAAATAAAATCAGTTCTGCATTAAACTCTTGAATTTTATTTTGGTTTACAAATGAGAATTGTTTACTAGAGGGTATCCCGCTGGGTCTTAAAGTCTTAAAAGGTGATAAATCGGTTTTGGTCAAATTAAGACCCTTAGAAAGTATTAAAAACTATTATCACATCTTTGCTCAGGCTCAGCTAGTCTAAAGTATTTTCTCTGAATTAGCTCTCCAACAGTCAAATAAATGATTAAAAAGCTAAATAAAACTTCGAGCTCCATCGTTTGAAGTTCCTCCTCCCTTCTGCTCAGCGGTTCCCCGGTTGCTAGGCGACGGAACGCTCACCGAGGGAGTGGCAGGAATTCATGAAGGCTAGGCCTGTCCAAATTCACAGCCGTTAACATCCGGTCTACTCGGCCGACGGAGGACCCAGCCCACGTCGGCCGAGTAGGCTGGGTCCTTCGAAGGATGCAGACCCTGAATTGAGACACAGCAAACGTAGGCCGGGTACCTCTTAGCCAATAGCGATGGCAGATTTAAATTAAAATGCAGTGCAGAGTTTTTACCTGACAACAGCACAACACTGACAGTTTTAGGCAGAAAATTAAAATTTTAACTAAGATGCACTAAAGTGCAAAACTATTGACTACACGTGTCTGCAGCACGATTATACATGCATTTATATAGTTTATCAGGGAATAAAAGTTGATTTGGGGGTGACTTGCTCTTTAAATAACAACAAATACATATTATTTGAATAGAGCTCCGGGAGTTGACGTCACTTCTCCCGGCTTTTAAAAAGGCATGCAGGGCTGTGGGATCTGGGGGGTTAACACAAAACAGTTATCAAGCGTAACTAAAATGATTCAGACTAAAGGAGACTTCATGCGTCATTACACAACGTTCATTTCTTGACATATAGGGTGCACATCAAAGCAGATCATCATCTTCACTAAATGGGACTTCACGCACTATTACACAACATTCATCTTGACATATAAAGTCATTAAAGATCATATCACAAAAGGGACTACAGTCAAAAAGTTTGATGAAGGGTGGTGAGTTATTTCTCTATGGTTTATCTGTAGTGAGTGCTGGTTGGAAGCTGATGCTTATGCAGCTCCAAACTTACCAGCCAGAGCAGGTGCATAACCATGGCCTCTTCCTGTTTGGAGGCTGTTCTTGGGCAGCTGATCTCCTCCCAGCTCGGCAGAGGTAAGCCAGTAGTTATGGGTAACGGGGTGAGCCGATCCGGGGGCTGGTTAACCTACGGTGCTGGCTGGGGGTTGTCTGTGTTGGTGGTACGCCTCGACAGCTCCGCCACCTGGGCTGCGTTGGGTCCCTCATTGCTTCACCTTGGCGTTCCTGGACAACTGGATCCAAGCAGTGCACCCCAAGGCTCCACACTGCTGTTTTGTTAACCCTTCTTTTTAAAACGGTATTTTAGCCCGCTGCTGGGCGGGGCTGCAGTGTTTAGTTGCCAGGGCAACCACTGGATCTCCCACACCGGATACATTTAATGGAGCCAGTCGGGGGATTTATTTAAGTTTTCCCTGTTTTTAACATAACGGACCTGTGTTGCACCTCCTTGTTAATTTAGTTTACTTTTCTTTGTATTTTATATGAATTGTTAAATAAAGGACATTACTGTATCTAAGAACACCAGTCTGTTCCTCTCATGGACGTAATTTTCACTTTAGAAGGGGGGGGGGACACGGGGGGGGGGGGGGGATCTTTACAGTATGCTCTAATGGGAAACAGCCTTCAACACAAACAGTTGTTTTCCGCTTGGTCCTAGAGCTCAGCCAGTGTCAATTTAATGTAGCATAATATTGTTTTTGGATGGTAAGAAGTGCAGGGGTCAAAACTTGACTTTGGAAAAAGTGGGAGGGACAAAATTACGTCCATGGTTCCTCTGTGGGTGCACGGGCCTACGTCCTTTTAGTTCCCTGGAGCCTACCGGCTCTGGGGTGGCGTTGTTGCAACAGTTTAACTTCTTAACATTCTAGTACTGACCCATTTAGCCACACTATGATAGATTATTTATTAGATACATATTCCATGGATCTCTGTTAAATTTCAATTTTAAGGACTGTTACTGACGCTGGACTCCCACTCTGGACCAAGACCTGCACACTCTCTCGTGTGAACTTTCAGGACCTTGGACAGGTTCTAATCTCAGCCAGGCATGCTGCCGTGCTCATCTCAGCATCCTAGCTGCAGGCCATCAGCTAAGAGCTGAAGATCCAAAAGACCGCATCTTGCCAGAGGTCACCGCATGTTTCAAAAATCAGGATTTTTGACTGTTCATGCTCCAGAAAGCTCAGGATGCAGCAGGAGGTGGAGCAAAACCAGAGATCAGATCAGATTCTCAGCGACCGCGCCCCCCACAAGGGAATAATCAGCAAGCATGATCCAAGCATGAGTGCACACACACACACACACCTTGACTAAGCAGCATACACCTCTGACCACACCCCCTCTCCTCACTGGCTCTCAAGGGCGCTGTCTCATTCAGACCACGGACAGCGACGCTCCGACGCGGTTCGGGACAACTCATCACCCCGGGATCTTCCACCCGAAGCCCCGGTCCGGATAACAATAAAATGAACAGAACCAAATAAAATGGCCTTAGAGGACTAAAGCAGACCCGACGAAATACCCAGATGAAACGATACGTTTCCTTTACCGGATTAACTAAGTGTGAGGAAAAGCAAATGATACAAGGCCCTTGCAAGTCTGCTGCGCGTATGTCTCCCCCTCACACCCAGTCCTCTCTCAGTTTACACCGCTGACAATATCAACGATGTCATCCGCAGACTCCGGGAGATGCCCGGTTCAGCTGTGAGAAGTCCAGGGCAGGAGGACACTTCTGAGAATAAAAATCATGAACCTCACTGGGTTGCAGGGATGGCATCAGAATATTTTCTCTGCAGTAGGTTAATAGTTGCTTAGTGCCAGTAAGCAGGTGCCAATTCGCTTTTTTTGTAATATAAAAGACCAAATTACAACTCCAAGCAAACTGGAAAACATATGGTTAAAATTAATACCAGATATAAAAGTTAAAGTATTTTTATTACACAATGAAAAAAGTGCACATTCATTAAAGTAATAATTTTATATTGTAATTGTTGTTACATCACTGGGGTTGATAAGTGGTTGCTTGCGTGGCCACATCTTGGTGTTGCTAGAGCAACACCAAGCTACTGCCTGGCCCTGCCCCTGGTGGGTGGGCACTCTGTCAAACTGGGTCCACCCAGGCCCACCCATAGCTCCGCCCCTGACTGAGAGTGAATATATAGTCTGGCTTGCCAGGCTAGCAGGAGACAGAAGTGGAGGTTCTCTTTGGGAGTCACGAGGAAGGACAGGATCAGGAATTAATCCATCAGAGGGACAGCTCATGTTAGATGTTTGGGAGGTAAAGACAGAGGACAGACTGAGATGGTTTAGACAGGACTAGAGAAGAGACAATGATGACACAGTTAGGAGGATGCTGAGGTTGCAGGCAGCAGACTAAACAGGGGAAAGAGGCTAGTTGATGTGAGGGCGGAAGATACAGAAGATGAGACTAAATGGGGATAGATGATTGGCTGGGGAGACTCCTGAAGAGCCACGCCCACAAAGAAGTTAAATCTTCTGACAGGAAACTGCTATAGATGCTTTGAGTCGTCCCAACATAAACCAGTCCACACAAGTCCATCGTAGGCTACAAATGTCTGTTTATTACAACTTTAAATAAAAGGACTCAACACATGCGTCTTGATGGTTATCAAAACACCAGGGGGCTGAGTCTATCTGCTGGGAACACCTCGGACGATGTCATCACAAGGAGGGGTGTGGGCAGTTATTCTTCACAAACGGTGCCACAGTAACAGCAGAGAGAGCAGTTTGTTTCTAAATATAAAAAAATCCCCCCCCCCCCCCCCCCCCCCCCACGGTTTTTACAACAGGGATTAAAACGACACATAGGAGGCAGAAGCTGTGATCTTATCATCATTTCCCTTTGGTAAAAAATGATCTTCCTGTTATAGACTAACGACTTTAGCCACGCTGGCTCTAACTATGTGTCATAAAAAGGCTGAGACTATTTACAGTGTATTTACATCAATTCCTCCCACAGGTGTGTGTGTGTGTGAGAGAGAGAGCTGGTGCTGTGGCAGAGGGCGTAATAAAATGGTCCAGGGCTGCGAGGATTCCTGGTGTTAATACAACTATATAATATAATATATATATATGTGAGTATATATACACACATACACTGGAATACATCAGTCTGACATTTACAAGCTATACAATTATACAGTGTTGAGATGTGACCCCCCCCCCCCCCCCCCCCCCCCCCAGTTCCTAATAATGCTGCCATGTTTGGGAGTAACGAACACCTTCCTCGTCCTGTGTGATGCGAGTTAGCCACAAGGACCAGATCTCGTTGTGAAGGAAGCGACCCCTAAACCGTCCTCCTGAATAAGTGCACTTGTCTGTCCCATGGTTTTCCCTAAATGCCACAGAACAGATCCTGGACTTGCTGTGGTGGAGCTCTGATGGGTTTACATAAGAACGAAGCTCAGGTGTGATCCAAGCAGAAAAAGCACCACTCTCCCTCTCTTCCCGGGCTAGCTGGAGGAAGCTTAGCGACGTGGCTCTGAGTGCTGGAAGAGCTCGGTTCTCCGACTGGAACTGGACCAATCCTAGGTTTTGGCACCGAGAGGCCCTGTGGAAACGCGCCCAGCTGAAAATGCTGGTTACAAGAGAAATCTTTAATCCTGTCGCCCGGATGCAACACACACGATGCTCCCATGCTGGCCCTAAAAACACCTTACACCCCACCCCTGCAGTAAAACTGAGCCACGGCTATGGCGTCTTGCTCGATGGGCTGTATTTGACCCGGTACTTGTTGATGTTCATGAAGTGGAGGAGCTCCGGGTGGCGGGTGGTGCAGCAGGGCAGAAGGCCGTCGCGTCCTTCACCCATCAGCCACTTGTTGGTGTCGGCGCTCATGTCCCGGGTCACGTTCTCCTTGATCCAGGTCTCCAGCCAGGCCTGGAAGCGTTTGTGTAGCCGAGTGCTCACCCTCTCGTGTGACTGTAAAACACAGACAGACAGGTAGCCATGTTAGGGTCGCTCGGCATACTCAGGTCCTGTTGAACAGAATCAAAGGCCCTCTCTGCAGATGATGTGATGCTTTAACATCTTTGGTCCATGATCTTAATGATGAGAGTGGACTTCTCTGAGTCTGAAGACCAGATTCACACGCAGAAAAGAGTTGGGAGGGGCCGGATGTTGGTCAGCAGGATCAAGACTTCAGTAACAAGGGCAACAAGGGACGTCTATAATCCAACCCTCAAATGAGGGCTGGAGTTTAGGATGAGGAATGAAGCGACAGGGTTCTAGAGCCCGGTAGCTGAAGGGCAGCCTTGGAGGTCAGGTGAGAAGGTCCATTGGTTGTAGAGCTGCTGCTTCCAGTCACCAAGATCCTCCCACAGGTCAGAACCTCTCTGGTGTGGGAACCTTTTGGGATCCTCTAGGAGTAGCTGAAGGTATGGCCTTTGCTCTGGGTGGTTGGATGACACGTGACTGGATCCCTGAGGTCTACCGAGGAACAACTCGGAACATGTTTAACGTTGGACAGAAACCTAAACAAGATGCTCTAGAGGGAGTCGAGGCGGGATCCTGTGATCCTGAATGAGGCGATCGGCTGAGAGCTGCTGGTTACCTGCTGGGCTCTCATCAGGGCGGTGCGGCGGTACATGTAGTCCTCAGACTTGAAGACGTACACCATCTTGTAGGAGTTGAGTTTGAACATACACTCCATCTTCTCCTTCTCCAGGGACTTCTTGCCTCCCCCACAGGCTTCCTTGTCCATCTGCTCTCTGCCAGTCTGGTACTTTCGGATCCGTCTCAGGTTTCTGGTTCAGGACAGCAGAAAGAGTGTCAGGACACCTCTGAACAATGACACGTGCGTCAGACACGTGAACATGACTTACCTGGGCAGGAACACGGGCTTCTGTGCCAGGTGCTCCCTTAGCTCAGGGGTGGTGGAGTCTGGGTTTAGGTAGCGGCAAACGTAATCGGACCAGCGCTGGACACACAGAACATGCTTAGGTCATTCAGAGATGGTACTACTATGTAGGCTAGCCCTAACTGAGCTGGATACCAACACAACACCGTGCCACATCGCCATGGCAATGTGTGAATGACACTTACCTCTGCCTCCATGGGCTCGTCTGAGTTCTCTTCTTCTGTGTCAAGCAGCTCCACGGTGAGCTGCACTTGCCCTCTGTTCCTCGTGACCGTCACCTGGGCAGGTAAACCAACAAACCACATGACCTTATAGAACAGAACCAGCATCCCAGCAAAAGAAACCATGAGCTGACCCTAACCCCCCCCCCGTCTGGTCCCTCGGTCACAGGACAAAGTCTCCATGTTGTACCAGTAACTAACGTTCCTGATGACTGGATGAGTTGCAGCCCTGCTGTGGGAGGACCACGTTCTCCTGTCATTTACTGTTGGTACAGAAGAAGATGGTGGATCCAAAGCAGAACCTCTCGTGCCTCCTACCTTGAAGCAGTTCTCATCAGACATGAGCTGTTCGGCTTTCCGCTGGTAGATTGCCTCTGCAGAGTTCCTGGAAGGCTGCGTGGACACTGATCCTCCTGTCGCCCCGTTGGTGCTCTCTGACAGGTAGAGGTCTGTCACCCGGGCGCAGATCTCGTCGCTGACGATGTGCTGGAGCTAGGGGATGACAGGAAGAGCAGCTGACAGGTAAACAGCTGTCACAACAGCTCGGGTGGGCGTGAGTCTGCAGGTGACTACCTGGCGGACAATGCTCTGGATGAGCTTGTCCATGGTGAAGGCGGTGTAGGCGTGGATGGTGAACATCTCCCTCAGAGAGTCCTCATACTGGCAAGCTTCGATGTTCCCATCCAGCAGGTTACGCACCATCTCCAGGAAGGCTGAGTAGTAATCCTCCACTTCAATGTCCACTGGTGAGCAGAAACACGTTGGTGTTTGACTCAAAACTAAATGGCAGCTAAGCGAGTCAGCGTGCCGATACTCACTGGGCTCCTTCAGCCGGAGCTGGATTGCTGGCTTGTCGCTTTTCTCCTTCTTGAGGCCCAGGACTTCCTTCTCCCAATCCCGCTCCCGAACACTGTCATCCATCTGCCGCTCGGCCTGCTCGTAGAGCCGCAGCAGGCGTGAGCAGAGCGTCTGGTGCAGCCGCAGGAGGATGTACCAGTTGTTGTTGACCAGGAAGATGTTGTAGGCGTCATCACAATCATGCCGCTTCTGTGCCGCCATGTTGCTGAATAGCAGCTTGGACTTAGAGGGGCTTGCCCTACCGGAGATGCCGTTGTGCTTTTTGGATGCCCCCTCCTCCAGCTCCACCTCCTCCTCCTCTTCCTCCTCCTCATCCTCCAGGTCGGACAGCTCGCCACGCTGAGAGAAGAGCAGGTCGGGGAGGAAGTGGTAGATGATCTGTTTGATCTTGTACTTGTCCTCCTTCTGAATGCTGGTCTGGCGCTTTACATGGTGGATAATGAGAGCTGCGGCATCCTCTAGGATCTGGCTGTCCTCATAGGCTAGTGTCAGGTGGGGGCCGGTGAGGGGGGCGGCGTTCTCCTCAGACACCTGCTCTTGACGCTGCAATGTAAGGTCAGGCTGACTAAAACACAGAGTTCAAGCACTTTCGAGGTGAAAGCACGACATAAAGCACCACCCAGCAGACACAGAGGAAACTAAAACTCAACAATTAACGGTTACAAACACGTCTGGCTAACGCCTTCCAAGTTCATTTCCTGCTTTTGAAGATCTTGAAAGGCTATTCCTTAAAATCCCGCTCTCACTGAAGTCCTGACTACATTTGACTCCCACCTTTTCTTTAGTAACCTTTCTACCATTATTTGTAATATCACTGGTAAGTTCACCATCTGGACTAGGGTCAATGATATTGTTGCTATGGAAACAGGTGCAGTTGTTAATTAAAGCTTGCCACAGTAATTCAGGTCTGCTCTTTAGTTTTTATTAATCGCTTTTGCAACCAGAGACAGGTCATCCTTCAGCTTTACAAGCTTCCTGGTATGTCCACGTCTAGTGACAATAATCTGAACACATTGAGCTCGGCTGATTAACAAAACTTTGCTGTTGAACTCTGAGAAGCAGAATTATTGACAAAAGTCATTAAATTAATGTGTTGAGTCAATAATTTGATGGCTTTAGACTTGACTTGGACTTGTACACCAGTGACACTGAACTTGACACCTGTTTACTTGAAAAGACTTGACATTTTCCTCCATCCATCCATTTTCAGCCGCATATCCGGAGTTGGGTCATGGGGGCAGCAGCCTAAAGCCGGGCGTACACTGTGCGACTTTTTCACTTTTTTGAGCCGATTTTCCACTCGTGTGAAAATCCACAAGATCGGGGCGAGTTTTGCGCCGAGCGTCGTGTACAGGGGGTTATCAGAGGGGATTAACACCACGTGACCAGCTACCGATCAGCAATCGCGCACAGACTTCTGGAGTGTTTGATATTTTGCTCGTTCCTCGTGAGGGTTGAAGCGGCGCCGCGAGCAGCTGCGACCCAAAAAGTACCAGAACCGCTCACGACGCAATCATGCATCAACACCGCTCACCCGCTATTTCCCTAATAACACACGTTGTTCGTTATTATTTCTAAACGTTTTTTTTACACACAGTGACATGGATTGTCAAGAAAGCGTGTTTGTCGTGTTCATGTCAAACTAAACTGATCACAAAACACAGATTTACTTTCTTTCGTTTTCCTCATCCAACCCCCATAAATCCCTGTGTGTCCTCCTGCAGCACTCCCGAAGGACAACAGGCAAAACAAGACAAAAAAGTCGGACGTGTTGAGTAAAACCTGCTATTTTTAGCATATTTTTAGGGCCGACGTGTTGCTACCAGACGTACAGTGTGAGCAGTCAGGTCGTATCCGTGAACTGGGTCGTGCAGTGTGAGCACATGACTCGTGAGATCTGCCCTGCGAGGAAGTCGGACAGTTTGAGCTGAAGCTGAATGCTACGAGTGAAAAAGTCGCAGTGTCCGCCCGGCTTAAGCCGAGAGGCTCAGACTTCCCTCTCCTCAGCTATTTGGGCCAGCTATTCTGGGGGGATCCTAAGGCGTTCCCCGGCCAGCCGAGAGACAGAGTCTCTCTAGCGTGTCCTCCTAGTTGGACGTGCCCTAAAAACTTCACCAGGGAGGTGTCCAGGAGGCATACTAATCAGATGGCCGATCCACATGAACTGCCTCCTCTCAATGTGGAGGAGCAGCGGGTCTACTCCAAGCCCCTTTTTTGATAAGTTATGACACACAAAACTTCTCAGTTTGACGAGCACTGCCTCTCCATCCTGGACAACATCTGTCCTGTCCGAACCAGATCAGGTCCTGCAGTGAACCCTACTCCCTGGTTTAACGACAGCATTCAGCCTGAAGCACCAATTCCATTTTTGGTTATTTTTTAAACAGATAAGGTTTTTCTTTACCTTGCTGACGTTTTGTTTGCGACTGCAAACATCTTCAGAGCTGACGCTCAAGCACCAATGCAGAAGAGTTGAGCGCTTGTCAAAAGACAAAGACCCAGATTAGAGATCTAGATGTTATCTTTGACTCAGACCTGAGCTTCTCTGGACCTATTAAAGCTATAACTAAATCAGCGTTTTATCACCTTCATCAAACATCAAGAGTCAGAGGTCTCATGTCCAGACCAGACTTAGAGAAACTTATTCATGCTTTTATTTCTAGTCGGCTGGACTACTGCAATGGTCTTCTAACTGGTCTTCCCAAGAAAGCTGTGAAGCAACTGCAGCTTGTTCAGAATGCTGCTGCTAGAGTCTTAACAAGAACCAAGAGAACGGAGCACATCACTCCTGTTCTCAGATCCCTACACTGGTTACCAGTAAACTACAGAATAGATTTCAAAGTGCTCCTACTGGTTTATAAATCACTCAATAGCATGGGACCAAAACACATGTCTGATCTCATTCCTGTATCTACACCAAGCCCCCACAATGCGGCTCAAAAATTGAGTCCAACCCGTAAGTACCACAAATTGCAGTTCCACCCTCATCCACTGGGGGCTGGTGTCAGAAGCGAGCAACTCCTCATTGACTCCCATGTTAAAAATACCAATTTCACAGCAGAAATAAACATGTTTACAGCCTGGTACCAAAACATGTTTTTGGTTTAAATGATCTAGTTTACACTCATGACAACTCTGAGGGGGGTGAATTTTTTTCTCACTCTTCTGTTAAAGTGTATTAAAAGCCTAAAATTCTGTATAATTAATGAGCATCAGACCCACGTGACCACAGAGCTAGCTCCGTGGAAAGGCCTCAGTAGAGACTCGGTCTGGCTTGGAAACTGTTCTGGGATATCGAGTCTCTGTGTTTGTGTATTCTTTTCTGGATATTATTTGTGCAAATGTTGGACAAAATGACTTGCTGTGGCATTAATTGCAATAATAGAGCGTTCAAGGAGTCTCCACTTCATTTTTTTCGGTAAGTAAAATTATATTTATGTATTTTAGGTCACTGCCGAGCTGAGCTTAGATTTTAACATGTACTGTTTAACCATGAAATTTAAATGTAATAGGGTGAAACCCAGTGCATTTAACATAATGCTGCACTTTAGAAAATGGGTTGAAATATAACATGTTGTTGGAGCTGGGTTCCGACTATCGGCATGTGGAGCTCTCGGGAGACCGATGTTTTCCACCCGGTTCTCCCCTCCCCGCAGCTCGGCGCATCTCTGTCTGATCGCGGCTTCTGTCTGCTGCGCGGGCTGCCGGCTTGTGGAGCTCTGGATGGAAACCTTTCCACCCAGTTCTCCCCAGTGGCAGCTCGGCGCATCTCAGATCACAGCGGCGCTTGTCTGCTATGCGGCTGTTGGCTTGTGGAGCTCTCGGGAGACCTCTGTGTTCCACCCGGTTTTACCCAGCGGTCAGCCCGGCCTATCTCTGACTCAGAAGCTCTGGTGTTGTGCACAGTTAACTCCAGTTGTAGCTAGGTTGCTACCTCCGTTAGCTTAGTTCCCACCTCCGTGTTAGCTTTGGGTTAGCTTCAGGTTAGCTTGTAGCTAGTTCGACCAGGTGTCATCAGTTGATCCCAGCCTTACAGCCCCACCCTCAGCTCCACCTCTCTTCCCTTTTGTGGAATTGTCTGGGCATGACGGAACCTGTGACACGGTCAAAATGGCGGTGGTGGCCACCTCCCATTTGGCCTCAAAAACCTGTTATTGGAGCCCGTGGAAACCCATTGTCCAATATTTATATGTCGACGGTCTACACCCAATAGGGCTCTGACATCCCTTGGAAACATCAGCTGGTAGAGCCTCGGGTCAGAACCAAACATGGTGGAGATGCATTTAGTTACTATGCTGCTCACATATGGAATCAGCTTCCCCATGACCTCAGATCTGCCCCAACCCTAGCGTTGTTTAAAACTAAAACCCTCATGTACTCATCAGCCTTTACATGAATTGTTTCTTACCCCGGGTTTCGACGGGAGCCGTCAGCAGCACGTTACTGCAGCAGCACGTCTTGCTCGCGTAAGCTGCTGCTTGGCCCTTCCTACGAGACGCGAAGCAGCAGGGGAGCAGCTGTCACCGACCGAGCACGAAGTCACACGAGTGACTTCGACCAGTAAACACAACAACAAGCAGGAGAAAATTACAACATGGTTTGTGTTTTATGTTCTGTCCGTTTTATAATCGCCAGTACGGACCTGAAAAACAAAGGAGACCGCTAGCTAGGTGATAACTTCTCACGGGGACGCACAGTTAGTAACCTTTTTAAAAAGTAAAGCAACCAGAAAGCAGTACGTTCTTTATTCTGAAAATCTCGGTAGCTTCTCTCCATTTCCGCGTCCGATTTCCTGTCTTTCCTTCCCCAAACATGTCTAAATTGACCTGTTTCAGAGGCGTCGCGCGTAGGAAATAGAACCGGCGCGTAAAGGCCGCGACATGCTGCTCCAGAGACGCGGCCGACTCGCGCTGCTGACGGCTCCTGTGGAAAAGGTTCTGTTGACCACAGCGGTTCCTATCAGCAGCTATGACGTGCTGCTGCAGTAACGTGCTGCTGACGGCTCCTGTGGAAAGCCGGGGTTATGCTGCATCGTCTCCGCTGTAATCTGTAATGTAACTTTGTCTTCTCCTTTAGCTCTAAACTGTAATTCTATCTGTGTGTGTTTTAATTTGTGTTTTTATGTGTTTTCATATCATGTCCTGATAATTGTAAAGCACATTGAATTGCCTCGGTTTGAAATGCGCTCTACAAATAAAGCTGTCTTGCCTTGTGGAAGAAAACCCATCTCCATGTCCATCTGCTGCACCCAAAGGATCTTCTGACATCCTTTAACTCTGCAGTCAGAGATGCAAGGGTTTCCTATTTCTCCAACCTGGTGTCCCAGAGCAAAGGGAACCCCAAGGTGCTGTTTACCACCATCAGCAGCATCGTCTCTCCTGCCTCTCCTACAGCCTCCATCCACTCTGTTGCAGACTGTGAGAACTTTCTGTCTTTCTTTGTGGACAAAGTCAATAAGGTTAGATCTAGCATCTCTCCTTCAGCCTTATTGCTGCCTCTCCCGACTCCAACCAGGACCGTCATCCTAGATAGCTTTGCTCCGGTTTCTTTGCCTGAGTTAACCAAACTAGTTAACTCTATGAAGACCTCTGCATGCCCCCTCCACATCTTACCCTCATCTTTGTTTAAAAGTGCTTTTCAGTCCATCGGTCCCAGCGTGCTCTCTATAATTAATGCTTCTCTGGTTTCTGGTCAGGTCCCTGCTTACTTTAAGAACGCTGTAATCCACCCGCTTCTTAAAAAACGAGTCTGGACCCCTCTCTCCATAGCAGCTTCAGACCCATCTCTAAATGTCCGTTCATCTCCAAGATCTTGGAAAAGGTTGTGGCTAAACAACTCACAGCTGCTCTTGATGAACATAACATCTATGATAGCTTCCAGTCAGGTTTTCGTAGAGCTCATTCTACTGAAACAGCTCTTCTTAGGGTATGTTAGGTATTTTAATGTATTACTGTCTTAGATGTTCCTTTTTAAGTAATCATATGTTATTGATGTACATATGTTGTTGATGGAAAGGATTGTGTGCAACTTTTTCTCATTTATAATTTTGAGGGATAAAGGTGTGGCATTTCTGTATAATGAACAAGATATGTAAAAACAAAAAACTATTTTCATTTACTGCATGATAATCGCATTTTTTTTGTAAATTGTTTAGTCGCTATGAACATTTCACATTTATATTAATAAAATGTTTAATATAAAGGTTGTATTGATGTATAGCAGGTTGAAATACTCCAAAGAATGGAACCACAGCATCTGGTAGTGTAAATGCAAGTTCTGGTAGACTTGTTCTATGGCAGGTCTTAAAGGCTAAATGATCGCTCTAGTTTTTCATGTTAGCAAAAACAAATTACAAACAATTAATATAACAAATACTGAATCCATTTCCCCACTGTGGGATTTATAAAGGCTATCATTACCTCATCGTAGATGCTTTCTATTTCATTCAGCAAGTACTTGGACCGCAGCACTTTGGTGTCGTTTTGCTTGAAGTTGATCCCTTGATGGTCCAGAGATTTGAGGTAATACTTCTCGTTCTGCTCCCTCCAAATCTTGTTGAAGCCTCGCTGGGCTTCTCGCCACTCCTCCTCTTTAGTTTTTAACCTGGTTTCAACAAAAGCAGGAAGCTGGCAGAACAATCCAGAGTGTTGAGGAAAAACAGTGGAGCTTAAATTTTCTGCTTGCCTTTTTAAGACGATGGGGACAGAGGCAGCTGGGCTTTTCCTCAGACCATCGATGATGTCAGCAGCCTTGTCTCCATATATCCTCTGAATGGCTTTGCGGTGGATCACCTCTGATGACCCACCCAACGTGTTGTCCAGGCGAAACTTGGCCTGCTCCTCGGCAGACATGTGGGACAGCTTCCGCTGCACCGCCTCCAGCACTCTGATGGTGGCCAGGTTGGTTTCCAGCACATTGTCCAGCTGTGTTAAAAAAATCAAAAACCTATTTGACTATCATCGTCTGACGAAGGACGTGAAAAGATTGGGAGAATAAATGGAATTAATGCTGCAAGCAGCCTCGTTCGGCCCTCGCAGCGAAGCTGCTCGCCCTCCGTCCGCATCCCCTAAATTCCATCCCCGACCCTCTCCCAACCCATCGCCCTGCAACCGGTGGCGCACGAACGCCAATGCGCGCCAGACACCCCAGCGTGCATTTAACTGCAAATCACTGTGAGCTGTCACCTCAATCTGACTCAACCTTTCCTCCTAGCTTGCCAACAGTACCCACAAAAAAGTTTTACATTAGCAAAATATCCAGCTTCAAAAGAAACTCTGCAACGTAATCGGAACAAAATGACCGACTTTCTGTGGGATATGAGGCATGGCTCCATGAGACCTCTTTGTAGGCCCAGGCACACTACATAGTTGTGCAACATTTCACAATCCGCGGTCAAAGCATGGCTTGGGGCTGAGAGTCTTAATGGTCATAGGGGGCGCTATTTCAGAAAAAAGGCAATGCCCACAAGCTTATGAAATCTATTTATATTGGGGGTCAGACTAAGATCACTCTTCACAAATCCTTTGGTGATATCATGAGAACTGAGGAAATGAGAAGCAAACATATTTCCATGGCGTGATGACCAATTTCGCCATGCTTCCAGGGCCCTCTTTTGAAACCTGCCTGTACTAGACACCAAGTGACCCCAACTTGTGTATTGCTATTTGGCAGAGATTGCTGTTGAATAGATGAAAGGAGTTCAATAGGGAGCTCTGAAAAGTATAAGGATGGTGTGGTGACAAGTCAGTGTTTGAGGCTTAGCCACGCCCACATCGTTAGACTTTTGGAAAATCCGTAGGTTCAGTTTTTCCCGATTTGTCTTAAGAGTATTTAGCAGAAATATGAAGGCGATGGGGGTAAAGGGCGCTGTGGAGTTGACGTACCTTTGAATTAGGGCTGGGCGATATGGACCAAAACTTATATCTCGATATCTTTTAGCTGAATTCCGATATACGATATATATCTCAATAATTTTCCCCCTGTAAATTATTTACAAGTGACCTCACTTCAAGCTGTCTTGAGAAACTCTTAACTTTTTCAACAGAATGGCTTGTAACGGAGTATTTACTAGCATAGCAAACCAGAGAGGAGAAAACCGGAACAACATTTCTCACCCGTTGAGCTTGTCTTCAAAATAAAACGTTTACCCTATAGTTTACTATTCAAACCCTTACAATATGTCTGAGGTAATTTGGAGAGGGAGGGGTTTGGCTCATCTCTCCGCACAAGCAGGATGGCATTGAACGTCCCCAAATAATTAAAAACCAGGATGCGAAATGCAAAGTTTAGAGTAGCACATTTACCCAGAGGCTCTCAGAATGAGCAAACTTGTGAGAATACATGTAATAGCTGCTTAGAGACAGAGCAACATGTCGCTAGCATAGCGGCTAATCGCTGGCATTGCAGTTTGGCCAGTTATATCGATATAAAGATATAAAGTCAACTTATGTCTTGTTTAAAAATTATACAGATATCAAATATATCGATATTGACCCTTTGCACGTGACATCACGCGATGATGGATGGCAAAAAGACCGTTACGCCCGTTGAAACTCCAGTGAAGCTAGTCAAAACAAGCCAGTTTGTAGCCTTTTATCGCTTTTATTTAGTTGATTTGATAGTAAAATGGTTTTAGCTTGCGGCGTTGTTGGCTGCACTAACGGACAAGGATGTAAACTCAACTAGTTTTGTTTTTTAATAACTTTGATGGAGACTGAGGACGGAGATGAACTGCCACGTCAAGTGGACTAGCCCTCAGATTTGCAGCGAACATGTTTTTACCGGGTAAGATTAACGTTAATTTATTTCGTGAGGAAGACAGAGACAGGGATAAATGTGATGTGCTTATACTAGTTATTGATAATCCTGACGGATGGGTATTTCACCATGGATGATGCGCGCCATCCACTGTAGTGTAAAGCGAGATGATTAACAATATTAAAGTTCCGATGTATGATTATGTGTGTAAAAATTACGTTATTTATTTATTTAAATGAGCGTTGCCTTTCAGAGATCTTCTCATTCTGGTGTGAGAGCAGAAGCTGAACCCGGTAACACCACCATCAACAAGGGATCTGGACGTTTTAACTCAGGACCTCAACTGGCTCCTCTCAATGTGGATGAGCAGCGGGTCTACGCCGAGCCCCTCCCGAATGGTCAAGCTTCTCACCCTATCTCTAAGGGAGAGCCCAGCCACTCTTCGGAGAAAACTCATTTCGGCCGCTTGTATCCGCGATCTCGTTCTTTCGGTCACTACCCAACGCTCATGACCATAGGTGAGGGTAGGAACGTAGATTGACAGGTAAATCGAGAACTTCACCTTCTGACTCAGCTCTCTCTTCACCACAACAGACCGGTACAACGCCCGCATCACTGCAGATGCAGCACCAATCCGCTTATCGATCTCACGCTCCAGATTTCCCTCACTCATGAACAAGACCCCGAGACACTTAAAACTCCTCCACTTGGGGCAGGACCTCATCCCTGACCCGGAGAAGGCGTTCTACCCTTTTCCGAATCAAGACCATGGTCTCAGATTTAGAGGAGCTGATTCTCATCCCACCTGCTTCACACTCGGCTGTGAACCGCTCCAGCAAAAGTTGAAGATCACGTTCTGATAAATCCAACAGGACCACATCATCTGCAAAAGGCAGAGACCTGATCCTCAGACCACCAAAACAGATTCCCTCCACACCTTGGCTGCGCCTAGAAATCCTGTCCATAAAGGTTATGAACAGAATCGGTGACAAAGAGCAGCCTTGACGGAGCCCAATTCTCACTGGGAATGAGCCCGACTTACTGCCGGCAATGCGGACCAAGCTCTGAAACCGGTCATACAGGGACCTAACAGCCCATACCAGAGGGCCTGGTACCCCATACTCCCGGAGTACCCCCCACAGGGGCGGCGTTAGGCCCAGCTACTTGGGCTCAAGCCCCGAATATTTTATGAAAAGCCCCAGATCTAATACGTGGAAGTAACATGCAGTACCAAAGTCCAACAGAGAGGGAGCAGCTGGCAGTAGTTTGTATACAGCCTGCCTGAGGCTCCACCACTGAAGAAGCCCTTCAGCAGCCGGCTTCTTCTACAGTGCCTGGCTTCTTCTACAGTATCTGCCTGAAACGCAAATGTAAAGATGGACATAAGGGCGTTTTTTAGACCAAAAGTACCGTGACAGAACCCCAGCTTTGATGAGACTGGTGTTGACTCAGGTTTGTGAGTCTTATTTGGAAATATTTGTTGTGCTGCTGGTTTGCCTAAAGCTAGATTACTATCAGGTAAAGTTGTTGGAGAAAGAACGCGGGAATATTTACTATCATCTCACACTAAACACTAACAGGAATGTTGCGAGTCCCACATGCCAAAGACAGTGACAAGTACGGGGTCAAAAGGTGAGCCACACTGGACTGGCTTGTGCGAGCAAAATCAGCCAGTCGACAGGAGCTGGGCTGCAGGTCAAAAAACTGTGGTCAGAAACAAGGGTCACTCAAGGGTCACAGGGACGAGAGGATAGAACTGGGCAAAAGGTCAGGTTGACTGACCCAACCTCTTTGCCCCACCCCTGGCTTGGAAAGATGGGATTGGAGGAGAACAGAGTGAAGACAAGCCCATCAGATCCAGAAGCCCTCTCGGGAACATTGGAGAGAAACTGAAGAATGCTGCAAAAGATGATGTAATGACCTGTGTTAAGAAGAATGCTGCATGTAGTGAAAATGACACCAAATGTTTTGTGTTGAGCTACAAAGTGTGTATCTGGTAAATGACCCCATGACCTTAAGCTGGCCCAGGAAGGGTATATAAGAACAGCTCTGAACAGCAGAGGGAGAGATTCGGAGATTCGACAGCAGCTGGGGCAGAGGACAAGAAGAGACAGAGCAGATTTGGAGGGGTCATCCCCCGTCCAAACCTGGATGGGGGATGACAGAGGACTCTTGGAAGAAAAGAGAGGTTCAGTTCTTGGGGAGATTCTGAGAAGACAGGAGCTAGTGTAAACTAACTCTTATTTAATCATTTTGAACTAATTCCTCCGTGGGGGATAGCAGTTGTTTTTTACTTTACCCATTTTTGTATTTTGATTTTGTAATAAACCTTTTTTGAAAAAGAAACATAATCCTGATTCTTTCAGGTTTTCTCTAAAGCTTCACGTTTGGGGCCCTGGCCATAATTGCACAGAGGTAAGCTTATCGATGATCGATCTCTGAATTATCGGGACTTACTTTACAGTTTATAATAGAATAAAATAAAGAAACCTTAAGATAAGGGAAGTTTTAACTTCCCCCTCCTTGCGAGTAACGAGTTGTCTTAAGGGCGATAAAAGCAAAATATTCGAGGTTATTTTGGCTCTGATTGCAGGTTGAAAAAGTCTCTAATCAGCTGGAAGGTTGGATTAATAAATAAATTGATAAACTTATGATAGCCTGATCAACTAGCATAAATCATTTTATAGTTACCAACCTCCCACATAAGCTGTTAGAGGCGCAATTAATTCCGGGTAACCCAAACAATTGCTGAGAGGCTTGGCTTGCCTCCAGACTTCTCTCTAGTATCTTAACCAAAAGGTAACGAGTTTAAAAGAAGTGTAGTACTCTGGGGCTGGCTATTCGTGCAAGTCATTTCACCTTTAAAATAAAAGACAAGATTCTAATTAGATGGTCCAAACCAGGATCTAGTACAATTATACTCGCCGACATCCCCTCGAACCCTGATGGATGCACCGTCTCATAAGTTCTAACGGAACTGGGTTTTAAAGGAACCGGTAAATGGGACGGGCACGCGACATGGCTTCCCAACGTGGGGCACGACAAATGCCACGTTCGCGACATGGCGCACCAATGTGGGGCTACAGAGCGAAGGTTCAAATATTAGATACCGGACTATTCGACGTAGAACTATGTCTTTTAGGCTGATAAAAGCTTACGCACCATGGACCGGATAAGCTTATAACCTTGGAGTGAAAACCGCACCAATTTCTCGAAAAGGAAAGAAATTTGGGAGAACGGAAGATTAACTCAAAGAGGTATAAAGAAATCACGGCTTTCCGACGTAAGAAAAGCCAAGGATAAAAGCTAGGCAAAAAATAAAAAGGAATAAAGAGTAAGAATAAAGAATAAGACGTGAAAACGAATAAAAATAAAATAAATAATAAAAAAGAGAAACTTTCAACCAGCCATGGCAGATAGATCTTTAACGGTAAAACCGGAAAATGTTCTCCTTAATGTGAGATTTGTCACCGGAGAAATAGCGACATTTCAAGGTGAACCACAAAGCGTTTTAGCAGTATCCTGTAACCGGAGTTTTCATAACGAGGCCGGAACGGCTCAAGCCGCAGCGGAGCGCTGTCCGAATGCTGAAACTCAAGTAAAGAATAATCATGTATTTCCGTTAGTGGGTGATTTAGTGATTCTAGCAGAACAACGAAATGATCCTGTTTTTAATCAGATAGCGTGGTGTTGTTGGGAAAATCCAGCGAAACTCCCCACGGGCGAGCAATATGAGATCCTTCTGGGATTGCATTAAGCATAACGTAAGTGGTCCCTTTATAATAAAAGACGTAACTGGGAACGTGGTTTTAACTGAAACTGGTTTGCGCGTTCACCCTCATCAAGTTATAAAATAACTATGAAAAATAAAATTAATTAATTAAAAGAAAAAAATAAAATAAAATATAATTTTTTTTTTTAATTAATTACTTGATTAAAGGTCATGGCTGGGCCAAAATCTAGTGAAGAAATGACTTGTAAGATCCCAGGTGCTACGGGCCTAATTCTGTTAACGAAGGGGGATTCTGTTAAAGATTGTAAAGTGGCTATGTTTCCGGGCTTCATAGAATCTGCAAATGTGTATCGTTACGCGCAATGGGGAGGCTAGAAGCCGGGAACATGTATAATGTGCCTCCAGACTTCTCTCTAGTATCTTAATCAAAAGGTAACGAGTTTAAAAGAAGTGTAGTACTCTGGGGCTGGCTATTCGTGCAAGTCATTTCACCTTTAAAATAAAAGACAAGATTCTAATTAGATGGTCCAAACCAGGATCTAGTACAATTATACTCGCCGACATCCCCTCGAACCCTGATGGATGCACCGTCTCATAAGTTCTAACGGAACTGGGTTTTAAAGGAACCGGTAAATGGGACGGGCACGCGACAGGAACAATACTCTGCCCTGAATATGCTTAATATGTAGCTTCAGATTAAAAATTATGTGACTTCGACGTGCCGCTACAGCTCCGCCCTCTTTTGAAAACTCCTATAAAGTGACGCCAAGAAACACCCACTTGTCTTGAGTTACCAGCTACAAATTTGTGGTGATTAAGTCAAATGGGGCGATTTGGGACCTATCACAGTCAAACTTGACCTTTATGGTTCTGAGGGGGCGGGGCTTGAGTGATGTCACATCCAACCATTCAATTTAGTTTGTGGCTGGATGTTAAATGACCACAGAAATTTTTGTAACTCTACTCTATTCGAGTATGAAGTTATAGCCCTTTATATTTTTTGGTCGAGTAGTCAAACTTCAAGGCCTGGCCACGCCCCCTCAGCAAATACAAAAAGTCAGTTTTATTTTTTCTATTTGATCGCCCATCCCTTCTGAGCAATTTCCCACAACTTTCGAGACGATCGTGCGAAAAATGATCGAGTAAATCAATCAGAAGCGGACCCTAGAAACGGCCAAAACGGGGTCAAAATAACCACTTCAAACCAAAATGGCCGACTTCTTGTTTGATGTTGACCATGATTGCAAGAGGCTTTTCTGTGTGGACTACTGAGTACTACAAGTGTACAAAATTTCATAACTGTACGACAAACTAAGGCTTATGGAGGGGGGTATTTTTCACATTCTAGGGGGCGCTGTGGAGCTAGTTTTATTGCGATTTTTTTTGGGGACCTTTAAAATGAAAAAATTTTACACCACGCCTGACATGTGTGCAAAAATTCCTAAGTTTTCGGGTATGTTAAGGCCTCCAAAAAGCCAATGTACTTGGCAGAAGAAAAATAAACAGCAGATACAACAGGCCTTCGCAGCGCTTTCGCTGCACGGGACTAATAAAACATGCTGCTAACCTCAAAGCGCTCATCTTCACAGCGGTAGATGTGCTCCTCGTACTGAGACTTCTTGGAGCTGACAAAAGTGGAGTCCTCAGACCAGGAGGGGAAGGAGACCCAGGTGTCGTTCAGGACCTGGGAGTGGAGAGCACATCAGCGGATCAGTAAAGGGAACAACAGGAGGTTCTACATCACAGCGGCACTAGAACCAAAGCTCTACAGAAGCACCAACGACGACGCAGTCAGTGCCATCTAAAGCCTCTCCAGTCAGTTTCACTTTCCCTCTGAACAACTTAGGACCAAACCCACTGATTCAACACGAGGAAGATCAGCAGCAGGTTCTCTCCCTCTGCTGCTGCTGCTCACCGGTCCCACTCCTAGGAGGTCTGAATGACGGAAGTAGGATGATTCATGTTTCATCCCAGGAGCCAAATAGGTCCCCCACTGCCTCCGTTCACCTGTGCTGTGCTTTTAGCGGGTTGCTTTCAGCTGCCTACACCACTAAACACAAGTAGCACCTCCGTGAAACCAACCTGACAAGTGTTTAGACACATTGACTCTCAGACTACCATTCTTCCAGGAGCCCACCTGAATCCATCTTTATGGATACGGGGACTTTCCTGACTCACCTATAGGGCTGAAACAAATACTCGAATAATTCGATTGAAAAAATAATAGTCCACTTTTATTTTGTAAATCGATGCCTCATTTACGCTCACTTCTGGACTATACGATCTCCTTCCACTGTGACCATCCAGTTATTTAACAAGTGCAGTTGTTCTGCCAGTGCAGCTCCAACTGATCATACAGTTGGCAGAGCAAACAACAGGAGGAGTGCAAAAGGGATGATGACACCCCAGAAAGTTTCCAAAAAGTGGGAATTATTCACACTTGATGACAAGAACGCCTGTTGGTGGTGGTCGGAGGGACCGGTGGCGCCAGTGCTCGGCAGCCTCGTCTGTCAGTGCGCCCAGGGCAGCTGTAGCTACATCGTAGCTCATTCCCACAAGAGGTGTGAATGACTGATTGTGTTGTAAAGCACCTTGGGGGGTTCCAGGATGCTAGAAGGTGCTATATATCAAATACCGTATTTTCACGACCATAAGGCGCACCTAAAAGTTTTAAATTTTCTCCAAAATGTACGCCGCGCCCTATGGTGCGGTGCGCCTATTGTGTTGTTGTGAGATGCGAATGTAATAGAAGACAAGGGGCGTGGCATGAACATGTGGACGTGAGGGAAGACAGACCTGTGGATCTGCCACATCGTCATCAACATCCTCGCTATCTGCCTCAGACTCCGGCTGCGAGTCTCTGTCCACTTCCTCTGCTTCCAGTTCAAAAAACAGCCGTACTATCTGAACTGCCTGGTGGACATTTATCCTTCTCATCATCCTTTATTAAAGCCTAATAAAAGCCTGCTAAACTGCAGAGACAACATATCTGTCCGGATCGCTCCAAAATATGAAGTTTACCGTCAATATCTGTCTAATTGTTTGTTGTTACTCCATTCGCGCCACTCCTTTCCCCGCGAAGCGGCTCCTTTTTGCGCACATCTCGTTACTCGTGCAGCCTTCCTTTCTCTCTCTCAGCTACATAATGATGTTAATAAAACACAATTCAAATCACACTATTTTCTTAGGCCTATTAATAACACACATATGATTTTGCTCATGTGGAAAGTTTATGTGGTTAACTCCACCAACTAAACATATTCTGAACTTCAACACAGCGCATCAGCGCTTGAAGCGGCGCTGCAAGCAGCTGCGACCCAAAAAGTACCAGAACCGCTCACGGCGCATGCGCAATCATGCATCAACACCGCTCGCCCGCTATTTCCCTAATAACACACGCTGTTCGTTTTTATTTCTACACGTTTTTTTACTCACAAAGATTGTCAAGAAAGCGTGTTTGTCGTGTTCGTGTCAAATTAAACTGATCACAAAACACAGATTTACTTTCTTTATTTCGTTTTCCTCATCCAACCCCCATAAATCCCTGTGTGTCCTCCTGCAGCACTCTTGACACAACACCGGCTTTAGTAGGAGGGAGACCCGCGATTATCCAAGTGGTGCTCGCTGCAGAACCACAAAGGCGGAGCTGCACCAGAAGGTGGAGCTGCACCAGAGTCAGCCCCGCCCATTCCAGAATCAGCCCTGCCCATTCCATCAGAGTCAGTCCAATTCCTTCCAGTTGTCAGACTTGATAGCATTCTGGAACCAAAGAGGGTGTTATAGCTAAAAAATGCAACATTGAGGATGGAGATGAGAAGTTAATTGAACAGTTTTTGTAAAGGTTCCATATAATTGAAAATCTAACTTTTGGAACTTTTAATCATGTTATATTGTCATTTCCTCATAAGAAACATGCCAAAGCAATTTTTAGCCTCATTCATGCATTTTCCTCCCATCTCAGCTTCAATTTGGTCTCCTCCCCCGAAGCGGGTCTGGTCTTGGTTCTCAAATCTGGATATTCTGTGAATTTTCTGACAAATTATTTCTGAAATGACTTCTACTGAGACACCGCCGAAAAACCATACAACCCATCTCAGAGACACTGGGAAGCACAATTAGATGTAACGCCGCATGAGTTATAGCAGATGTGGTGGTGTAGTGGTTATGGAGTCAGGTTGACATGCTGTTTCGCCTCCCAGTAGTGTAAGTTTTAGGTAGTGTACAACCTCTTTTCTTCATTTCTAGCTACACTTGCCAGTACTATGTTTACAACAATTTACTGGTATACAGTTTAACATATAATGACTAATGTGTTTTTTTTATTTATTTATTTGTTTATTTAGCCAGTGTGAGTCCATTTGTGAGCAGAGTTTCAACTAAAATGCTGTTTAGGAACGACCAAATTCAAAGAACTTTTACAGACATAAATATTTTGCTGAAAATAAACATTACAACTAAAATATAAACAAATTAAATGTTTCAGCTGGCTAAATAGATTGCTGACGACCCCACCGAGAATCGAACCAGCATCAGCTGAGGGGAAAGCAAATCTTAACTCAGACGATCTCGCCACTAGACTACCAAGGCCCATTCAAAAGTTTGAAATGCTGTCATACACCATTTCTGTTAGACCGGCTGTGGGCAGATATTCGCTGAAAAAGGGCTTTTCATTTTGAGATATATTCAGTCTTTGTCATGTAGCAAGTTATATTTATCTTGTTTAATTGGAGCATAGAACATAGCATTAACGACTGTAAACTAGTAACAGCCGTAATTCATGTGGGTCAGGTCAGTTTGCGATAAAGTTGAAAACAAAAACGGAAGTCAGTGGGCTAGGCTGAGTTTGCGTGAATGGGCGGGGCTGACTCTGGTGCAGCTCCACCTTATGATGCAGCTCCGCCTTTGTGGTTCTGCAGCGAGCACCCTCTCCGATTATCGCATGTCTCATTGAAAATGAATGGACGAGAGGCGAAGTTGCCTCCTGTGTGTCGAGCCCATTAGAAGAGCACGAGCCGTCAGCGCACGCAATGAGGAAGTGCACGTGCGCTCTAAACCAGGTCTTTTGGCTGTTTATAATTTTCACAGTGTCTGGTTTGCACTGATATGTTCCGAGTCCCGAGCCCGCACAGATGTTTTACCGGTACGTTTTACCGTGCCCGCGCCCGATAACCTGGTGCGCCTTTTGTATGTGTTAAACACCAAAAAGACACCCGTAACTGAAGCTGCGTCCTATAACACGGTGCGCCCTTTGGTCGTGAAAATACGGTACAAGCCATTTACCATTTTGTGCTAAGCTAACGTTGTGCTAAGCTAGTGGTTCACCCAGCACAATGCATCCAGGTTTCTGGCATTAGGGTTAGGGACCTAAGACAAAGTGTGTGTGCTTTAGAGGTTAAATGAAGATAAACTGAGCATCCCCAGTATGCTAACTGAGACTGAGAAATGTTTAGCTGCTAACCCTAAAAGCCAACAAGTGTTTTTTTTTCTCCATGCGAGTCAGTGCGAGAATGAGACGAAAATGTATGAAGAGCTCATCTTTATATAGCGCCTCTCTAGACAGAGTCACTAGCCACATGCATGTAGCCTCTGGTTTTGCATGCATGTTTTTAATTTTGTTATTTTATTTGTAACATTGCAGTTTTAGCTTTATGGCTAAAGTGAAAAGCATGTTTAAGTGTTTAACTGTTTCGGAGTTTATTATTTTATTGTTAGAAAAACAATCACAGTTGTTAGCTGGTAAACTAAGATCTCAGGAATCTGCATCATTTGACAGACCAACCCAGAAAATCCATCCTTCTCAGCTGAATATTGATTATTGTGGCAAATGAATCCATGACTAAAATAATGGATAGCTGCAGCCCTACTCACCTCCTTACAAAGTGGAGTTCTGCCGGTGCATTTGGGTTGCTGGTAGCTTTTGGGCAGAGCTCTGTAGCTGGAGCCGAGCCTCTTACACGAAGCATAGTCTATCTCCATGGCGATGCCCTCAGTGGCCCGTTCCTTGGGGTACGTTTCAATGTGGGACATTTCCCGGTACCCAAGGAAGATTTTGAACCAGTTGAACAGCTCAGGGAATTTTCTGTGAATCAGAACAAAAAGTGAAAACACTGAAGAGAGTTCCACCAAATGCCAGGAAGGTGGCGTGGGTTACTCACCCTAGAAAGGGCAGAACCAACTGGACCAATTCGGTTCTGGAAATCACCTCCTGGTTAAAGATGACCAGACAGCGCAGGAAGCTGTCGTAAGCCTCAGCGCTCCGTAAGGCTTTACGCACTTTCTCAAAGAACAGAGACTCAGTGCTGATTCCATGTTTGCTCGGGTCAGCCCCCGACAAATCCTTCAGGTTCAGTAGCTTGGGCTTCTTCTGCGGCATCACACACAAGCAGGAGAGTTAAGAACAAACAAGTGGACATGATAGATGCAGGTGACACAGCATCAGTGTAAGTGTAAACCTTGATGGGTGGGCCCCCCCCTGGTGTTGGCTGGCGACGGATCTGGCAGCCGTTCTGATTGGGTCTGTTCTGTTTGTTGTTGAGGTGGTGGACCTTCCTGGAAGTGAAACTGTGGTCGTTCTTCACAGACTCTGCCTTCTCAGCTGTGGTCTTACTCAGCATCTACAGACATACAGAGCTATGAAGAAGACATGGGTCCTGGGTAGACCACCAGAATCCCCCTCCAGGCTTACCGCTGAACTGTTGGCGTCAGGGAGGAACTGCCCAAACTCTGAGAGCAGATCTTCTTGGTTCTTGAAGAGCCTGGCCACCTGAGCATACACTTCCTGTTCTGTCAGAGCCGGTGTGTAGTTTCCCCCTGTCTCCTTAGCATTACGTTGTTCCTTCTGACAAAGTATTGAAACCAAACATTAGAAATAATTGGATCAATTTTGCGCAAAAAATATATACAATGGAAATGTGTCAATGTCTGGTGGACACCTGATGTAGAATAGTGGCCTGTTAGGTCTGATTTTCTATAGAATGTCCAATTCCCATTACTATCTTATTGATCTGAACAAACAAGTCAATTACGCAATAATATTTTGGGTACCCTTCCACCCCCATGTAAAGAGCATGTAGCCCTTCAATCAAGAATTTTTTTTTGCTAATAAAATGTATTATTGAGTGACTAAAAGTTTGATTTCTTTTATCTGAAATTTAATCTTGTCTTTTATTTATTTGTTTATTTTTAACACTGTACAGCACTTTGGTCAGCTGTCTTGCTGTCTTTAAATGTGCTTTATAAACATGGTATTGTATCTGTTTTGGTGACCTGAGGATAAGGGTTCTGCTTTTTGCAGATGATGTGGTCCTGTTGGCTTCATCAGAATGTGATCTTCGACTTTTGCTGGAGCGATTCACAGTTGAGTGTGAAGCAGCTGGGATGAGAATCAGCTCCTCTAAATCAGAGACCATGGTCTTGATTTGGAAAAGGGTAGAATGCCTTCTCCGGGTCAGGGATGAGGTCCTGCCCCAAGTGGAGGAGTTTAAGTATCTCGCGGTGTGGTTCACGGGTGAGGGAAAGCTGGAGCGTGAGATCGATAAGTGGATTGGTGTTGCGTCTGCAGTGATGCGGGCGTTGTACCGGTCTGTCGTGGTGAAGAGAGAGCTGAGTCAGAAGGCAAAGCTCTTGATTTACCGGTTGATCTACGTTCCTACCCTCACCTATGGTAACAAACTTTGGGTGGATCACAGATGCAAGCAGCCGAAATGAGTTTTCTCCGCAGAGTGACTGAGCTCTCCCTTAAGGTTGGTTTATGCTTGACGCGTCCGCGAGGTCCGCATGGCTCCGCCCGGCAAAATTGTGTCATTTTAACAACCACACCCCTCCACCGCGCCTCAGCACGGCCGTAAATTTCCGCACCGCGCACCTAGGAAAATTTCTAACCACGCGGACGGTCGGACGTGGAAAAACATGGCGGACCGGCAATAACTAGTACGGCAGAGGTTCGTAAATACAGACATTTGTATGATTCAGCTCTCAGAGATCACCGTGATCAACATGTTGTTAATAATTCTTGGAGAGAAATAGCTCGCACTGTCGGAAAAGACGAGGACGCTGTTAAAAATGCTGGAATGCCATGTTGTAAACAACAGTAATTTTTACTTCTACTAATGTGTAGTGTTGGATGCACTGGTTAGGGTTAGGGTTAGGGTTTTTACCTGCAATTTGTTCTTGAAAATTGATATTTAGACCCAAAACCGTTTTTGCGCTCTATTCAGGTTAAAATGCTGTCTGCACTACATTGTATGTGAATCTGCCATAGCTAATGGATAAGACATACCTAGTAACCTCTTGCCCTAAGAACAGTTTCTTCCCCTCTGCTGTTGGACTCTTGAACGACAACCCTAGGGCTGCTTACTCCAGTTGCTTGGCTCTAGTTACCTGACCCAGTGTTGTGTTTGTACCTGAACTGATCCACTCCGATTAGTACCTACACTGTCTTGCATATTGCACCTATTTAGTATTACAACTGTATCATGTTTTGTTTCTGAGAATGTAATTATTTTAGGTTCATTATAACTAAGCCAAACTTTTACTAAATCAATCTTAGGAAGGAGACTTCTGATATTTAGATGAATTATATTCAGACCTTTACCCATAACAGAAATGCCACCAAGTCTAAACAACAAAATACATATGCATATTGCATATTGTGATAAAGTTCATTATTGTCTGTAATGTACTGATAAACATTAGACGTTCATATATATTAGATTCATTACACACAACTGAAGTAGTTCTAGCCTTTTATTGTTTCTAATATTGATGATTTTGGCATACAGCTCATGAAAACCCAAAATTCCTATCTCAAAAAAATTAGCATCTTTCATCCGACCAGTAAAAGAAAAGTGTTTTTGATACAAAAAGTCAACCTTCAACTAATTATGTTCAGTTATGCACTCAATACTTGGTCGGGAATCCTTTTGCAGAAATGACTGCTTCAATGCGGCGTGGCATGGAGGCAATCAGCCTGTGGCACTGCTGAGGTGTTATGGAGGCCCAGGATGCTTCGATAGCGGCCTTAAGCTCATCCAGAGTGTTGGGTCTTAGGTCTCTCAACTTTCTCTTCACAATATCCCACAGATTCTCAATGGGGTTCAGGTCAGGAGAGTTGGCAGGCCAATAGAGCACAGTAATACCATGGTCAGTAAACCATTTACCAGTGGTTTTGGCACTGTGAGCAGGTGCCAGGTCGTGCTGAAAAATGAAATCTTCATCTCCATAAAGCTTTTCAGCAGATGGAAGCATGAAGTGCTCCAAAATCTCCTCATAGCTAGCTGCATTGACCCTGTCCTTGATAAAACACAGTGGACCAACACCAGCAGCTGACATGCCACCCCAGACCATCACTGACTGTGGTTACTTGACTCTGGACTTCAGGCATTTTGGCATTTCCCTCTGCCCAGTCTTCCTCCAGACTGGCACCTTGATTTCCGAATGACACGCAAAATTTGCTTTCATCCGAAAAAAGTACTTTGGACCACTGAGCAACAGTCCAGTGCTGCTTCTCTGTAGCCCAGGTCAGGCCCTTCTACCGCTGTTTCTGGTTCAAAAGTGGCTTGACCTGGGGAATGTGGCACCTGTAGCCCATTTCCTGCACACGCCTGTACACGGTGGCTCTGGATGTTTCTACTCCAGACTCAGTCCACTGCTTCCGCAGGTCCCCCAAGGTCTGGAATGGGTCCTTCTCCGCAGTCTTCCTCAGGGTCCGGTCACCTCTTCTGGTTGTGCAGCGTTTTCTGCCACACTTTTTCCTTCTCACAGACTTCCCATTGAGGTGCCTTCATACAGCACTCTGGGAACAGCCTATTTGTTCAGAAATTTCTTTCTGTGTCTTACCCTCTTGCTTGAGGGTGTCAGTAGCTGCGTTTACACGTGCCAAATTTCCTCAATCCGATTGAAATCTTGGTTGATCGGAATTTCCAAATCTCTGTTCACATGGACACGAACTGAAATGATCCGATCATGCCGTGCGTACATATGCACCAAGCATGTAATCCGATTAAATAGGTTGAGCATGCGCAGAGTTGGTATGTTCTTACTGTGTCCAGTTTCTAATTCCATTTTTAGTTCGTTTTTATAACACAGAAAAGTTTTTTTTTTTTTTACCTTGCTGACAGTTTCGTTTGCCAACTGCAAAACTTCCTCAGAGCTGACGCTGATGGTGGCGTCACTTCCCTCTTTTGTAAATCTTTTGTATTTTTGTTGTTCGGTGTTTATGATCCTTGTGTTGTCCCAGTCCATTTTATGGTTTTCTCTTGTGCAGTGATCTGTTAACGGCTGACTTCTTTATTGTGCTTTCTGCTTCTTCTTTTGCTGCTCTTGTGTGTTTTCGACTTGTTTCTTTCTCGCTCTCCTTTCTATGTTCTGTTGTTCGTGTGTTGAGTTGGCGTCCGGTTTCTCCTATGTATGTTTTATTGCAGAGTTTGGGATTTCGTAAACGACTCCACATTTATGTCCAGCTGGTATCTTGTCTTTTGGGTGTACTAGTCTGTTTCTAACTGTTGTGTATGGCTTTGTTGGTGTGTTTATGTTGTGTTTTGTCATTGTTGCTCTTATCGGAGTAGGAAGTGACGCCACCATCAGGGTCAGCTCTGAAGATGTTTGCAGCCGCAAACGAAACGTCAGCAAGGTAAAGAGAAACCTTATCGGTGTTTAAAAAAAGAACCAAAAATGGAAGTTTAGCTCTTGTGAGCTGCTAGCACCAACAGAGTTACTTGTATTTATAGCTGCAGGAACACCAGTAGTGGTGGTGACTTTATTACCTTTAGAACACGTTTGTATGTCACGTATTTTTGCTCTAATTCCAAACTCTAATGATTTATTTCATCCCGCTACATTACAGCGGTAATAACCGTGCTCCTTGTCAGTGAACCAGTTTGTTACGTGCACACCTCAGCAAGCTAACGTCCTGACCGAGGCCATTGTGAGCACGTTGGTCAGCAGACTCCTGTCCATGGTCGGTATCAAGGTTTCAGAGATGATCATGCAGCTCAACCCAGGTTACCACAACTACTAACCTACCAGGCCGATCCCCAGGGCTGTTGCTAGCTATTTTGGTGCCCTAAGCACAAAGGCCTCGTGATGCCCCCCCCCCCCCCCCCCCCCCCCCCCACACACACACATACAGAAAAAACAACACAATAACACAGAATGTGCAAGCGCTTCGCCTTAAATTTTCTTTAATTCTCTTGTATGCACAAACTGCTTATTATTTTCCAAAAAGTAGGATTGATATTTTGTGTGTGTGTGTGTGTGTGTGTGTGTGTGTGTGTGTGTGTGTGTGTGTGTGTGTGTGCATGTGTGTGTGCGCGCGCGCGCCCTGACCTGGTATGTGTGCAGAATCTCCAGGAAGGCTTTATAGATGTCCGGCTGGCCCTGGAAGCGGTTCTTGATCTTGTTGACATAGTTGATAGCATGGTTGAACTCCACTGGCTGGTTATTCTGCATGGGTGGGCCGGTGGGAGTCCCGCTGAGGGGTGGGTGGAGCTGCATAGGGGGGGAGTGAGGAGAGGTGTGTGCTGGGATGGACGGATTGGTCTGGCTGCTCGTCGTTAATGCCTGGGGCTGGACAGGCTACAGGGAACACAATGTTAATCAAACAAGTTAAGTTTTACTGTAAAAAAAAGGATGTTGGCCCTGCCCCCACCTTGCTGATCTTTGCGGTGGTATGCTGTGGTTGAAGAGGCGGCGCCATGGTGATGGCAGCAGAGGGGAGTTGGGGCTGATGCTGGGTGCTGGCTCCTGTTATAGGGATGTTCTGGACTGAAATACCGTGAGGAGTGATGTGGTGGATCTGACCAGGCGTTGTCACGTTAACCAGGTCGTTAGTCTGGACCTCAATCTTGTAGCCTGGAGGAAGAAAAGTGTTGAAGCCCATGATGAGATCAGGATGGCCTTTGAAGAGCTGCGACACTCTGCTGATGACCCCAGGAGTGTCGATGCTAAAAGACAAGAGGAGAGACTCAGACCCAGTTTCAGACCTGTGGATCCATCTGATCAAACAGCTGTCTTACCTTTGGGACTTGAACTCCTTCATTATGTCTAAAAAGTCATTGTAGACCTGAGGCTGATTGCCAAACTGTAGTTTCACTTGATCCAGGTATGATAAAGCATCTTCCACCTGTTAGAAGAGACAAAAGCCATGGAATGAACAAACCAACCAAACCTCTCCCAGCTGATCCCGGGGAAGCGAGACTTTACACAAACTTCAGATTATTTACTTTTGAATCTGACTGGATTAGCATCAGGATTACCTGCTGTTGATAAGATACTTCCTCATCTAATAGCTCAACAAAATATGATATTGTAGCAGAGGAAAGGTCCAACAAGGTTTTTGGTCCACAGCAATGTCAGAGGTCAACAGACAGTCAAGTGTCCAGCAAGTTGCTGATGCCAGGAATGTTCTTCCCTGGACCAAAGCAATTCCATGCTTAAATTCCCTAGCGGCACCATCTGGAGACTACGTCTACACAACCTCTCATGTTTCCATGAGCTAAAAGGTCCCGCAGAAATCGAGACTTTTACTCTACTAATAAAATGATTTCTTTCAACCCACAGGTTGTTTACAACCACATGCTGTTATCTACCATGAATGTTCTGTCTAAAGTGATTTAGACTTTAGGGTGTGTGTGTGTGTGTGCGTGTCAAAAGATCACGAGGACACACACACAGCAAATTAATAAAATAACGTGGTTAAGTCTCCAAAAGAAGCACAGCTCATGTCCACCTTTTGTTTAACTTATGGAGCAGACTTTCCTGCGTGCATTAAGCCCCGCCCACTGGCTCGGGGATTTCCACATCCCGGAGAAGTCCCTCAGATTTATATGTGAACGCTACACCACCTGTTGGAGACCGAACTCATGCCATCCAGCCCCACCAAACCCCGACCGTGCCGACGCTAATGTGTAAGCGCCTTTAAGTGCGTTTCTTGGCTCTCTGGAGTATTTTTTTATTTGTCCCCACTATTTACTCAATGTAAGCCGCCAATTGCAGTCTCCATTTGTGAGATGTATTGTAAAAATGAAATATGAAACGAAACTTGGATCAGAATTCAAAATTTATGAAAAATGTATAGAAAATGTAAAATATCTAGAATTTAAAAAAAAACATTTGAGTTTGGATTCATCTTAACAGTTAGATTTAATCGTTTATAAGGGTGTAAGAAAATATCGATATGGCAATATATCATGATATTTTTTCCAGCAATATTATATATCGTGATATTTTTTCCTGCGATTATTATGTCGATATTCAAAAGCCGTGTATTTAATTCTTGAAAGAATTTACATGCAAACATTTGTGTATTTTCTTTTCGTTTTGTGCAATTCAATCGCCACCCGCTAGTTGGCAGCAGTGTGCAGCGGGTTTTGTTTCCACCATTGAAATGTAAATCCCTCCATCATGGTTCAGATACCTCATGTTAAACACGTTACGTATCAGTTTGGACAGTTTATTGAACATTCCTACAATACATTTGGTAAAAAAAAATTGCTTGTAACGTCTGACTGAATGTATCGCAATATATCGTGATATATCGTATCGTCTCCCCTGTATCGTGATATGTATCGTATCGCCAGAATTTCAACAATGCACATCCCTGATCGTTTATCACTTTTATGAACTTAGTCGTCACAGATCTTCAGAAACCCACAGCATGATGACATCACAGACAGCCAAGTCTGTACGTCAAGTATAGACATGAATCACACACACACACACACACACACACACACACACACACACACACACACACACACACGAGAACTTGTGTAACTTGGAACAGAGGGCGAGGAGATAAAAATCACCCCCCCCCCCCCCCCCCCCCCCCCAACATTGCTAGAGGTACGACTAGAGATGGAGGTGGAATTGGAGGCGAGATGCCGGAAGGTTTGGAGGTGCAGTACCATGACGGTTCCCCAAGAGGCCGAACGAGTCCCCCCACGGGGGTCCACCACGTGGAGAAGTCACAGAATCGTGGTCGTTTTCACATTCACTAATAACATCTGCATAATAAATACTCAACATTCATTTTATTTAGATGTCTGACTTTAAAACTGAAGCGCACAAAGTTGACATTTAAGTTGGTTACATTCAGAGTTCAAAACCTGATTCAGCTTCAGGAACTTTGTGCAACAACCAATGTTATTAGTGACAATTTAGCATGCCAATAAGGTGGAAAACGTCTAGATATCGGACATCAGCCGACCATGTCTCCTAAATATCAGCGTCAGTATTGGCAATAGAAAAACCAATATGGGTCGACCTCTACAATGAACCTGCTTTCATCTGTGAAGAGCACAGGGTGCCAGTGGCGATTATGCCAGCCTTGGTGCTCTCTGGCAAATGCCAGACATCCTGCACGGTGGTGGGCTGTAAGCACAACCCCCACCTGTGGATGTCTGACCCTTGTGGATGTCTGACCCTCATACTACCCTGATGGAGTCTGTCTCTGACCATTTGAACAGACATGCACATTTGTGGCCCACTGCAGGTCACATTGCAGGACTCTGGCAGGGCTCCTACTGTTCCTTCTTGCACAAAGGCAGAGGTAGTGGTCCTGCTGCTGGGTTGTTGCTCTCCCATATGGCCTCCTCCATGTCTCCTGATGTACTGGCCTGTCTCCTGGTAGCGCCTCCATTCTCTGGACACTACGCTGACAGACAAAGCAAACCTTCTTGCCACAGCTGGCATTGATGTGGCACCCTGGATGAGCTACACTACTTGAGCCACTTGTGTAGGTTGTAGACTCCGTCTGATGCTGCCACTAGAGTGAAAGCACCAACAGCATTCAACAGAGACTAGGGTTGGGCGATTTGTATCATTTTTCCCACCGCCAATCGTCAGTCCAAAAAATGATGATGAACGATTTATTCGTGCATGTGACATAATGACGCACGGACTGATTTGCGAACACAGAAGAAGACCAAAACATAGAATTTTTTAATACAAGCAATACATTTATATTTTTCTTTTTGTTTTATTTTGTATTTGTAGTTTGGTAGAGTGATGTATAAACGGCCGTATTAAACTGGGTTAAAAAGTTAAAAAGAAGACTCGCCTTTGTTTCCCTGTGGTGCCCACTGTTGTGGTTTTTATTCAACTCATTCACTGCCAGCCGTTTCCTGATCGCTAACGGCCTTCGCCGCCAGCGTTCCTTACCATTTTTACTGTTTTTTTAAGAGTCACAGAACGTTGCGTGCTAGGATGATGTCGACGCCAAAACAACCAAAACAAAGAGGAGACTCACCTCTTACATCAGGAAGAATCTGCGCGTTTCGAGCGTTATCCGTTCTTTCATAATCCGTAGTTGAATTGTGATCGGCAGACGCTTTTCCGGTTCGCGCCTCACTTTTTTTACAGGAACGGCCCTAAACAATCTCCTAACACATGGATGTTCTGCTTCCTGATCACGTGACGTATGACGTATGCAGGGCTGAGATGTTTGTTCTCTCGGCGTGGGGGCTCGTTCCGATGCTCAAACAGTAAAAAAATGCAAATTATGACTTTAGTCGTCAACGGCAGTGAACGGTTGGATCTAAAATGACGACTTTAGTCATCATTGTCAGTGAATGAGTTAAGCTAAATGTTTCTTTCTGAACAAAAACTTCTGGGGGTCTTTCTTTTATAAGTGGGGGATGGAATGAATCGCTGCTGCGTTTGGACGCACTCTGAGGAGGCAGCATTTGCTCGCTGCCAGAGGTCACATGATCCATTTATCCCCGTCACTTTCATTTTTTAAATAATAAATAATCATTCGTTAAATTTCCTTTAATTTTAATTAATATTTAGTCCAACCAAGCTAATCAGAATGCCCCAGTAACAATAACAATGCAATTAAACGATTTAACGTAAATTAGGAACATTTCGCCTGCTGCGGCTCGAGCGCACATTCCTCCTGCACCGCGTAAACCTGAACTGGTCACCTGCAGCTTGCGTGTAATCAAATGTCTCTAGGGAGCTTGCTGAGGAGGTTATGAGCGTCTAGACGTTTGCCTGAGACAGACTTGTGGCTGTTTAAATAATGTTCTGGATGGATCCGTGCTCTGCTGACACACTCGAAGCAGGTGATGAATAACGACGAGCGCTACTTCAGCCAAAGCTTTAAATCAGGAAACATTTCTCCAAATTAAATAACCAGAAGTCTTCCAGACTCTGAAAGATAGAAGGGTTTCCACTTTCCACTCAGCGCCACGCTGTGGTGCACGATGTCGAGTGCGTCACAGACGCTCTCCAAACCCCTCCTCAGCGCGCCGTTTGCGCGTGCACTGTCAGCAGCCAGAGGTGGGCGTGGTGAGACAAGGCTCAGATGCGCAGATGGAGATCTTTTCTTGATTGTTACCTCTGCGATGTTCTCTGTACGTAACGTGTAAAACATTTGTCAATAACAAACAAATAAATAAATAAACAAATTGCATCCTGTAAAAAACAACCGTGAGGGCTCAGCCCATCGCCGATGGTTGATTCATTCGTCCCATCGCCCAACCCTGACAGAGACCCAAACATCGGCCAGAAAGCAAAGGAACTGAGAAGTGGTCTGTGGTCACCACCTGCACAGCCACTCCTTTATTGAGGATATGTTGCTAATGGCCTAGAATTAGCATCTGTTGTCTTTCATTTGTACAACATTAGTGAAGCTGCCTGTCAGTCAGCGTTGCTTCCTAAGTGGACAGTTACATTTCACAGAAGTGTGATTGACTTGGAGTCACCCTGTAGTTTTTGTGCAGAGTATTTGTCAAACCTGCACACTCGGAAGGTGTGCAAAAAAGGTGAGAACTGAAATCTCTTCCTTCTAGGATCCGTAAGCATGAAGCCTGCAGCACCAGGTACCAGAAAAATCTCATGTTTTATTCTCAAACAGTCCAATAAACAACTGCGGTCCTTCAGGCTATGGGGAATTGAGCGATGTCACAAATAGGAAACATTAAAGACGTGTTTAATGATGACCATTCACCTTGAGTCTCTGGAACTGCTGGTGGCCCTGTGCGGAGGCTTGGGTAGCTGCTGTGTGTCCGTGTCCCGACATTACCGGGGGCCCGTGGGGCTGAGCGGCTGCGCCGTGGTGGAGGGGTCCAGCGTGGACTGCTGGAATTGGAGCGTGCCCATGCCCAACACTGTTCTGGGTTACAGGAGGAACCTGGTAATTAAAGATCAACACATAAAGTCAGTCTACAATCAGTTTGCATAGTAAAATAGTTCTCGCTTATTTTCAAATGTCCCCTCGACTAACCACTGAGTGAGCTTACTTGGTACCCCTGAGGGACTGAGTACTGCACGCCAGCTGTGGGCTGCATGTTGTCACCTACGGCGTCATACACAGCTGGAGCTGGAGCCAGGGCACGGTGCTGGAAAGCCTCCACGTTGCCAGGAAGGCGCCGATGCTGGGGCGCAAAAACAGTTTCCTGATCCTCCAGACGTCGTTTCATTATGAACTCATACTCGTGAGAGCTGCAAGACCTGGGGGTAAAGGGCATCAACAGGAGGTAGGACTCAGCTGCCTGGGCCAGTGTGGTAACAGGTGATCATGCCTGCAGGTCCACTGTGGTGAACACCCCAGAGCTGCACTGTTAGGTCTGAGTGTAACGGTCCCACTACACCCAGAACAAGAGCTGAGCTCAGGAATGATCCCAGCAGAGACCATCTTCCTCAGGAAAACGCAGTCGCAACATTCAACAAATGGTTTGAGTGGGTAACATAAAAGGGTTTGTTAGAGCCACTGGTGGAATAAAAGTGCATTAGCCTTGATGACAGGAGGAATGTGCTGCTCGCGCTCTCCGTAGCCAATAAAAACACAGGCAGCCTACGTCATCGATGCAACAAACAGGTGCTGCTGAAACGTGGGAGTTCTTCCACACACCAACAACTGGTGGGCGACTGAGTAGAGTGCTTTAGGAGGGAAGCAACACCACATTCTGTAAACATGAAACGGTTCCGAGCCGGACCGGTACCGGGCCAAAGCTCTGGGCCGATTGGCAGACCGCCTCCACCCGCCGTAGTAGGCTACAGCCATGATGGCTACAAGCTAACACGACCAAATCTGACGGCCTAGCAATCACAGGCACCGAGCCCGATGCTCCAACACGCCCGCCATTAGAGAAGGGTGCACAGGTTCGGCTAGTGGGCCTCCGTCTGGTCAGGTAAGCCGGCTTTCTACCTGTCTTCCTGTGTACCGGACACGGAGCACTTAGCTTTGTTTAGTGTGACTGAGAACGTGTGTAATGGCCGGCGGTTCTGGGCTGCTAGCTAATGTAAACAACATGGGTAGCTCCACACGGAGCACTGTGCGGGGATAGGACAGCACATGCAGGACACCCTTAGCGAGCTGACCGGCCAGGGTAGACGCAGCTTAGTCTCTGGGAGGACAGTCCGATGGGCTTTTATGAAACATATCTGCGAGTCAGATACCGACATGGTCCTCTCCGAACGTCTAACTATGGGCAGCGACCCTAGCTAGCGACATTAGCTTACTGAATGGATTCAGCTGAACTCACCCACAGCAAGCACAAGTTTCCAGATGATTGCCCAACAATCCGTTATTCTGGGATTAGAAGCAGCACCTCTGATTAGACTCCACTAGATTGCCACGTATGTGCGAAAGAAGCGTGTCAGTGGCGAGTGACTTAAAGTAAACAAATGAGGCAAAGTGAAAACCTCTCCGCTAGAGGAAAACAATTCGCTCGGTTAGCTGTAGAGGTAGGCGGAGCTCTGGGAAGAGACCCCGCGCCAAGATGCACACGATTGGTCAGTTCCTCAGAGGATCTGCACGGGGAGGGGCTTTGAATTGTTTTGAATTCGACCTGTCAATCAAGGATTGCTCAAGCACACCCCTCGTGAAGAAAAGCGCCACATCCTCAGCGCTCTTTTCAGGGCATTTAAGACCGTTCCATTTAAGGTTTTTAACGGTTTTTAGAGGGAGTTGTACATCTGCATAACATTTTTATTCAGGATGAACAAGGAACAACGGAAAGAAGTCTGTTCCAGGATGCTGGTAAAGGGCCTGTATTGGACATAGCGCCTTCTAGAGTCCTGGAACCCCCAGAGACGCTATACAACAGTCATTCACTCATTCACACCCTGGTGGTAATGAGCTACATTGTAGCCACAGCTGCCCAGGGGCGCACTGACAGAGGCAAGGCTGCCGTACACCAGCACCACCAGTCCTGAACACCACCAGCAGGCAAGGTGGGTTAAGTGTCTTGCCCAAGGACACAGCGATGACTGAGCGGGGCTCGAACCTGCAACTGTGCCACCGTAGCCTCATGTGTATTAAAGGTGTGGGACACTCATTTCATCAATACATTTGCAGTGGTCTCTAGTAGGAATGAATGCCTTGTAAGACATATTGGGGGTGTAGTACACTGGTGCACCATTTCCACTATGTAGTAATGGGAGTTGTTGTCTATCTAAAGTGCTGCAGGGGGCAGTGTGATGTTGTTATGCTCTGACTGTTTTTGGGTAAGAGAAGAAGAACCCAGCTTGAGTGTACAGACAACTGGAAATTGAGGTGACAACGTGCCGTTCACCATTACACACTAACTAGTAGATGCCCTCATCACGTTTTTGAGTTTTGTTAACTGATATTTGGACATCTTGCCCTCAGATTGAGACGCACCTGGCTGCAGCAAAATGGCAACTTGCGCTTACCTCCAGTCGCCATTGCCTTACCGGAAGTGCTTGTTTGACCCTGAAAATCATGTGACATAAAAGTACGTGCATGGCGTAAGTTCTGTTTGTCACCAGCAGGTCACGAGACGAATCAGCACCAGTAGCGACAGCAAAAATGGAGGTAAGTTGTGGGTGGTTACCTGCTAAACCAGGGGTTGGCAACCCGCGGCTCTGGAGCCGCATGCAGCTCTTTCATCCATCTGATGCGGCTCTCTGCTTGTAAACTAATTAATGAATATTTAATTAAAATATATTTGATTTTACCACATTCATTTTTATCTGTATGCCCATTCTAAATGTAAAGGCTGTCTGTGTAAATCTGAACAGGTGTACAGGTCACCTGTTTGTGTGTAATCAGATGTCTCTGTAGAAGCTTTCTGAGCTGAAGAGGATATGAGCTTCTGGACTTTTCCTCAGACAGCCTCATGGATGCGTTGCCACATTGGAAACAGGAACAAGGGCTATTCAGCCAAAGCTTCATAAAGGGAACATTTTCTTATTTTTATTTATTTATTTATTTGTTTATTTATTTATTTGTGTGTCCTGTCTGGCTGTGAAGCAAACAGAATTGATGTCTGAATGCTGGTGACAAGCCTTACAGATTTACTCTCAGGTGGAGCATCAAAGCTTCTGCTTTTAATGTCACGCCAATTCCAGCTTCATTGCTCTGAAAATAAATGTAATTCTCCATTGATCTGTGAATAATTAACCATGAAATGTATTGTAATCATCAGGTAATGTTGTACCTGTACGAGTTGGATATCAATAACTTTGTTTCTTTTGAGGTCCATCATGGTGTAGCTGCCATATTTGGCTGAGTGTCCTTCAGAAATGCAAGTTATTACTTCATTTACATTTGATAGCAAAGGAATAAAATAAATAAATTTAAACGTATTCACCAGGTGAATCAGCTCGCATGTCACCACCAAGAGTCACAGGTCCAGATTCAGTAGCCTCCTGGATGATGTCAGCTTGCTCTAGATGCCACTGCCAGCTCACTGTTGGAATTAACAGCTTTGCCTGATGTCGATAGAATGTCTGCTTGGACAGTCCCTGCACATTGAAGGCACCCAGGAACTAAAATATGAAAAGTTACATCATGAAATGAGAGATGCACAGACCTTATCAAAACTAACCTAAACATCACTCAGCCTGGACAAGTGCATTCTTGAAGACTACTAAATCAGTCTGACAGCCAGTGTCTTGGGTAGATTTAGCCTGAATAAAATAGAAGCACGTTGTTGTTGGAGTTTATAAAATCAGATAATATACAAAAGACACTGTCCTATATAGGCGCTTTATAACATTCCTAGTGTGTGATCGTTATTATAACGTAAAAGTCAGTCACATATGATGTGAAGAGAGCCTGAAATGCGACCTCCTGAACAGAATCCCTTACAGAACCGGGTCACGCTTTGGTGTAAAGCTGGATTTCACTCTGTAATGCTGTCTGTCAACTAGTGCTGCGTTAGAGTCACTGTTAGCAGAATTATCGACTGACACAAAAGCAACCCGAATTTTCTCAGAGCCTGACAGTAATAGTCTTGTGGACCGTTTTGTCGGCCAGGGCTTCGAGATATGTTCCGATTCGCCGCTGATTCTAACCATCCCGCTCCACATTTTGTGAACTTGACAAATTAGCCCGAAGGAAGTGCAGACCTAAGTGAACCACGTCTCTCAAACTTTGCATTTAGGTAGGGAATTGAGCTGCAGTATTTCTGCGGTCAGGTCTCTCTACGAGTCCGAGAGCTCTACAAGCGGTCAGCCCCGCCCGAGAGCTCAACGAGCGGTCAGCCCCGTCCGAAAGCTCCACGAGCGGTCAGCCCGCGCAGCAGCTAGTAGGCGCCGCATCGGTCACACATGCACCGGGCTGACCGCCGGGGAGAACCGGATGGAAGAATGGAACACAGAAGTGTCCCTCCAAGAGCTCCATCATATTTCAACCCATTTTTATGTTAAATGCACTGGGTTTTACCCTTTTACCCATCGACATATGCCCTATTAATTATTTTACCGTATTTTACATCTAAATTTCATGGTTAAACAGTACATGCTACATGTTAAAATGATAGTTAGCTAGCTACTTCGATAAACTCAGCTAGTTTAATGGCGGCAGTGACCTAAAATACAAAAATATAATTTTACTTACTGAAAAAAATGAAGTGGAGACTCCTTGGATGCTCTATTAATGCAATTAATGCCACAGCAATTCATTTTGTCCAACAATTGCACAAAAAATATCCAAAACAGAATACACAAACAGAGAGACTCAAAATCCTGAAACAGTTTCCAGGCCAGACCGAGGCTCAACTGAGGCCTTTCCACGGAGCTAGCTCTGTGGTCACGTGGGTCTGAGGCGGCGGTCACGTGTGTCTGATGCTCATTAATTATACAGAATTTTAGTCTTTTAATACACTTAAATAGAAGAGTGCAGGGGTGGACTGACTTTCTGGAGCACCGGGAGCCGTCCCGGTGGGCCGACAATGTGGGCAGGGCCGCAGGCCGGTCTGACATTTATTAATTATTTCATTCGTTCATTCATCCACTCGTTGCGTTCGTCTTTCTCTCTTGCCCTCAGATTTCTTACAAATTGGGCCGGCCAATAGGTTATCAAGGCTAGCAGTGTGTTGCCCACATCAAGATGTATTATTGGTCTGTTTCTCATTGTCATGGGCTGACTGGTTCAGGGCGCTGCGACAGGGCTGTTAATCACAGGCAGCACAAACCAGGGTGGGCGGGGCCTCATCGCTAGTCGGCGGGAGTGGTGGTTGGACAATGCTGCGGTCGGACAGTTGATGTGGAAAATGGAGAAGCCGAGGAAACGTTTGGGTGGCGCAGAAAAGTTGCGGCGAAAAAAATTGAAGTCTCTAGAGGTGGGAGCTGCTAAGTGTTCTAAGTTGACAGACCTATTTGGTCCTGGGCCGGCCTTAGACGCTCTTTATGCTGACTTTCAGGAATCCAGTATCAATTTCCAATCAGTCCTTTATGGCTATAGAGCGCTTCTTAAAATCCTTGAAATGCGTTAGAAAACATTTAGTAACTGTAGTCTTGGCCATGCTAAACTGAAAGGTAAACATCCGACTGTAGTGGAAGCAAGGCAAACAGCTGTTTTAGAAGCCTCAGTGTATATCCCCAGCTCTGTCAATGAGAGATGTGCTGTTATTGAACAGTCACCAACCTTTTCTTTGCCTAATGGTCTGCCTGTACTGACTGGCCTTGTAAATCTGCCAGTGACGCAGCCCTGTAAACCGCCAGTCGTGGTAAAAAATGAAATGGATCATGACGTAGTTATTCCTTCAGGTCGAGTGCTAGCTGATGTTAATGCTATAACTTGTGTTTTATATAAAGAACACACAAAGGAAGTTCCCGATCAACCAACAAACCCTGTTCAGTGTCAAGAACAAATCAACTTTGACTTTGGAAGCAACTTGTCTGCGGAATGGCAAGATCGTGTTTCAAAATTACTTATTTCAATGCCCGAAGTGTTTTCGCAGCATGAGTTAGATTTCAGACACACAGTCGAGGTGCAACATCAGATTAAACTCAATGATGAGACCCCATTCAAGTTCAGACCTCGACCAATACACCCTCATGATATAAGAAGCAGTAAGAAAACACCTTCAGGAACTACTTGATGTGGGAGTAATACGGGAATCTGAATCTCTATTTACTTCACCAATCGTAGTTAAGAAGAACGGTTTCATTCGCTTATGCATCGATTACAGGAAACTCAATCTCTACACAATCAAAGATGCATACGCACTCCCTAACCTTGAGGAAACATTTTCTGCCCTTGCAGGGTCAAAGTGGTTTTCGGTCCTAGACTTGAAGTTGGGATACTATCAAGTCGAAATGTTAGAGTCCGATAAGAACAAAACAGCTTTTGTGTGTCCCCTGGAATTTTGGGAATTCAATAGGATGCCCCAGGGAATGACCAACGCACCCTCCACATTTCAAAGGCTTATGGAGTGGTGTATGGGTCCTATGAATCTTAAAGAGGTCCTCGCCTTTATCGATGATCTTATTATTTTCTCGTCAACCCTTGAAGAGCATGAGCAATGCCTAAAGAAAGTTTTGACAAGGTTGAAAGAGTTTGGTTTAAAACTAGCACCCGAAAGTGTACCTTTTTCCAAAACTCTGTTAAATACCTTGGTATTATAGTTGTGGCGAGCGGGGCCAGGAGCAAGGGATACACACGG